CCACATGTTCGGACCACGTTTTGACATTCAGACGTCGTTCTGCGTGGCAGGCGCAAGGGACTCTGTGCGTTGCCAAAAAGTGAGCAAATGTGAGGGTTTTGTAGCAGTTCCAAAAACGATGGCAGGCGTGGGACATTTGCAGAGGATCTGGGCGCAGTACAAGAGACATGTTCATCAGAGATGTTAGGAGGTCAGGGCGCTGATTTCCTGAGAGGGGTGGCATTTGGAGCATCAGATCTGTAGGTTTGCTAAGATGATTTTGCGCGACGGGTGCAGCACTTCGTATGGCCTGGCGTCACTTTTTCGTGGCAGGCGCAGTAGCATAAACAGATGGAATGGAAAAATGTCAAACGCATTGGCACGAGGCTGTCAGCTCTGCACTCATCTTACCATTTTTGAAGGAAGTCTTGCAGAATTGTTTCGTTTTTGATGTCGTCAATCGAGGAAGTCTCGCAGAATTGCTTCGTTTTTGACGTTGTCCAGTTCAAAAGTTGAGGAAGTCTCGCAGACTTGTTTCGTTTTCAAAATTGCAGAAAGACAGATAGATAGATAGATAGATAGTTAGATAGATAGATAGATAGACAGACAGCTACAACTGCAAGTATAACAACTACACTACCACTACAACACAAATACAGATCAAATATATTACGCTACAGTACACCAATTAGACTACACTACGCCCATCACACTGCACTACATGAATTACATTACAACTCAAACTACAACTACAACTACACTAGCTACAGCTGCAGCTACAACTACAACTACACTACATTACACCACACTATGCTAATTACATCACACTACACTACACGAAACTACAAGTACGACTACGCACTACAACTACAACTGCAGCTACACAGCTACAACTACAGCTACAACTACACTACACTACACTAACTACACTACACCATCTACACCAGAGTACGCTACACTACACTACACTAACTACAACTACAGCTACAACTACAACCACACTACTTTACACTACACTACACTAGACTACATTACAGCACGCAACACTACAGCACGCTACACTACACTACATTACATTACACTACACTCATTACACCTCACCACGGCTACAACTGCAACTACACTACACTGCACTACAACTACAACTACACTACAGCTACAACTACAGCTGCACTACACCACACTACATCCAGCAGTTGTGGGTGAGGTGACCATTGCAACCATTGTAGCCACTCCAAAAAAAAAGCACCACTCCAACCACCTTTCGGTCCATCAGTGGATTCGCTCTGCCATCCATGCATCACAACAACTCACCTCTCCTATAGCGTCCTATTTTTGAAACTTCCACCACCGGCTTGTGCGGTACTACCGGTAATGTATTTATGATTTTATGTATATATATATATATAATCAAATACATTATTTACATAATATACACTTGCAATATCCTATAGTTACCTGATTCAGATATTAGACATGCTGGTGTTTCATAGTTAGATTAAAAATTGTTAAACCATACTGGAGGGAAAACAAAACTAATCCTCCACCTTTGAACCATCAATTGTGAAAATACAGAGTCGGGGATCGTGCCAACAAGATGAAGTATCGAGCCTCTTCGGGGCCGATTTGCCATCAAGATATATATATATATATGTAAATATATATATATGATATATGTAAATGATCGGGATATAAATGGAGTAAAGTCAATAAGGGATCATACGTGCCTCGCGCTGATTGCTCATCTACTACTGTGGTAGACCCAGCAGCCCAAAACATCCCTGGATCCCCTTGGGATGTCCTTCAAGATGGCCAAAGCACATTTCCAGGCCTGCCACAGATCGATCCCCCAAGAGGAAGCAGCGTGAGGTTCTCCAAAAAAAGGGCCGCATCAACTGATGGGAAAACAAAATGCATCTACTGGTGAGGAGAATTTTTCACCTTGGTGCAAGTTGCTGGAAATTGATGCAATACCTTTTGTGGTCAAAGCCTGACATCTATCATTTAGAGTAAAATCCCAGGCGTTTCATCATGCAGCTGTCATTTCAAGCAATGCTACTGTCAACCTCCATGGATACCATCAACCGCCCAACTTGTTCGATAGAATCAGTCACGTGGAAATCGCTGAAGCCACTGACAAACGAATACTCTATCTATATACTGACAAACGAATACTCTATCTATATATGGGAGCCAAAAACCATAGAAAAGTGATTCCCTGTTATTCTGATAGCTGAATCTATTCCTTTTAGGGGTCCCATTCTGTTTTTTCTTTACTATCTTGATCTTGGCCAAATATCCCCATTCAATTTAGCGACTAGGGTCATAGTCCAGTTGTACTGCGGGTTGGTAAATCTCCTAATTAAACATCACGCAACTAAAAAGGGAGGATATTTCATCTCCAACAGATACGGCTTTTCAGGTGATGTGAATATTCTGAATATCATCCCCAAAAAGAGACATCAATGCCAACCCCTGTATATAATCGGCAATGAATCAACCATTTCATAGGCTTATAATTCAGAAAACAATGGGATAAGCCTCTCGAACAAATACGGCTTTTCAAGTGTAGACAGTGATTAATATGGTAAACCCAAAAGTTAAAGCATCCAAAATAAACTCAGGCGCTATCCCCAACAGCTTGAAAACTTCTGCTGTGTATACAATCATACACATACAAGCATGCAATGGTGCTACACAATGGTAAAGGAACCAGGGCCAGGAACCTCAACAGGCATCTGCACAGGAACCCTCCAGAAGCTGACCAGGTATCTGCATTGGAACCCTCCGGAACTTTACCAGGTATCTCAACTAACATGAATTAATACAAACGCAATCATGTTGGATAACACGCTGTTACCAACTGTATATGATCTTGTGTTCGTCGTCATGACATCATGCCCACACTGTTCTAATGTGACTGCCTCTGAATGAGCAAACGCTCAAATAACTAAAACTCAAACTAAAGAAGGGAAACGGGAGACCGCCAGGGAAAGAGGGACACAAGAACACAGTGAAAAACGCGGCCTACGCAAACGCGCGTAACTGAAACTAAAACCAAACAGAAACCAAACACAAAAACCAAACAACAACAAACAATCAACCCAACATGCAGTGACGGAAATTGCATCGGAAGGAGTTCGGTCATCTCTCTCTTTTTTCCGCAGGTGGTTGCTGTTCGAATCTCTGACCAAGTCCTTCCAAAAAATTCCTTCCGGCTTCAGCTGGATAGCACAGTGAGTATGCCAGCCGCCCACCGTTGGTGCCAAAATTTATGGCTACCAAACGAAATCAAAAAGTCATCCATCCTTTGGCCACGGAATGGAACGAGCCCATGAAAAAGCAACTGCCGCCCTTAACGAACCTCAGGCTCCCCAATGGAAGAAGCACGTAGTCCAAGGGATACGTTGCCCAGGAAAGAATCAATCTCTCCTAAAAGATCTCCGGTCCCGTGTGAATCGTCCTCGGGCAAGTGTCGGCTAATCGACACCAAAATCCTGCGACACTCTGCATTGACCTTGCCGCGGTGTTCAGCATCTGGTGAATAACTCAGAGCCCAATAGGACCAAGATCCACGGGGGATGCCCATTGATGCCTCGGTGATATCCGTCATGAGCAGCACATTTTGTAAGGACTGAATGTCATGTCCGCTGCGGTGACTTGTCAACACCACCGTCAACGCCTTCCAGACATTGGTAATCCAAGTCGTAGAGCGATTGTCTCCGATGTGGAGAAGGACGGCACGAAGGTGCTCTCGAAGGCATTCAAGTTGACGTGGTCGAAATCCACTGGGCAAATCGGTCCTGATAAAGCTCCAGAAAAGATGGCAAAGCCAGTAAAACTCCTCCGCGGACAGCGCCATCTGGCTCACAACTGGTGCTAGGACCGAAGGTCACGGAGACCCGAAAAGGAATGAAAAATTTGGATCCAAAAGAACTGCCCAGTGGAGAAAAAGAGCTGAAACTGAGACTGAAACTGAAAGCAGTAACTCCGAAATTCTTTGGGAGGGAGGGAGTGGTACAAAGAATTAAGAATGAGAGCTCAGCCAAATCTGCCGAACAAATGATCACTGAATCGATCCTCACTGAAATGAGTTCACGAGTTAAAGCCAGGCAAACCTCTTCACCTCACGCCTGTGCAATCTGAAAGTGGTCATGCAAGTAACGATCTCAAATCTCTGATGTCATGTCAGTGTCAGCTGAAAGTCGTCATGCAAGTAACGATCTCCAATCTCACGCAACATCCAACGTTGAAATCTGCAAAACGTCAAACTGAAACGATAAACGCCGAAATCATGCAACTCTGAAACTGAAAACAAACGAGATTGGCCAGCTGAAATAAGAAACGATTCGGAAGTGCCGAAAATAAAACTGAAGCTAAAACTAGACGCGCCGCGCCAGACTTCCGAGAAACGAAACAAGAGAAACTTCCGCAAGGGAGCAACCCCCACACCCGGGAGACCACGGGAGACGACGACCGAGAGGAAGAGAAGGGCAAGCCCCCCCACGACAGACAGACACCAAGACACCCGGAGGAGAAGTGCACCCTGGAAAAAACTAAGCAAGGAAGCCAGGGCAAGAGCCCAAGCAACCCACCCTCCCCCCCAGGCAGTCCCAACCAAACAGTCACCAAAGGGAACCTTTAGTACCCTGTTCTAATGTGACTGCCTCTGAATGAGCAAACGCTCAAATAACTAAAACTCAAACTAAAGAAGGGAAACGGGAGACCGCCAGGGAAAGAGGGACACAAGAACACAGTGAAAAACGCGGCCTACGCAAACGCGCGTAACTGAAACTAAAACCAAACAGAAACCAAACACAAAAACCAAACAACAACAAACAATCAACCCAACATGCAGTGACGGAAATTGCATCGGAAGGAGTTCGGTCATCTCTCTCTTTTTTCCGCAGGTGGTTGCTGTTCGAATCTCTGACACCAAGTCCTTCCAAAAAATTCCTTCCGGCTTCAGCTGGATAGCACAGTGAGTATGCCAGCCGCCCCTCTTTAGCGAAACTGGGCTATCACCATTTTCCTGAAGTCTTGAAGCTGGCGGCTGAATCTGATATGGCTGGCCAGGTCTTAAGTGCATCTTTATCTAAGAAGTCTTCCCGTGCCGCCCACAGCTGTTCCAACAGCTCAAGCTTCAAATCTTCGAAAACACCTGACACCCGCAGCTTTGTATCGAACTTGGCGACCAGACCGTTCGTTAGGTCGTCCGCGTCCTGGTTCTCATCGCGCGGCCGCCAATTCAATGTCAACTGCAATGATGATCTGAAAAGGTGATGTGACAACTGCATGTTGATGAGCATGAGTGGCCAAGCAGTGGACGACCGTTTCTTGGCCAGAGCTTCATTGGCCTGATTGTCAGTACCTGCTGCCACTGCTACTGGGACGATGCGTCTGACCCCTTTGTCTTCAAGATATCCAAAGAGCTGCAATGCTGCCAAAGACGCCAGCAACTCTGCTGAAGCTGACGCCCAGCTAGATTCCAAGCCCTTGTCAAACAAGAAGGGGGCCTGATGGGGGGCCACTTCTATAATAAACCAGCGGTGGTCCACCAAGTGGTGCCCTGCCAGAACTATGCGGCCTCTTTCGCATTTTGCATCAGTTCTGAATTCCTCTCGATGGCTCCTCAAAGGCGCTGAGCTGCTGAGTCGCCTTGTCAAAACCTCCAACTGAGACTGGAGATAAAGAATCACCAACCTGACCATCTTGGGCATCGTCGCCACACAGCCCCGATCCAAGGCAGCGCTCCAACTGTAAAGTGGCGCCAGGTGAGGTTTGATCCAAACCAGAATCCTTGCTACAAAACCCAGCCGCCCCAGAAATTCGTTGAAGTCCCTCATTGGCACCGTGTAGCGCCTCTGCTCCAGCTCCCCCATGAAGTCTCTCAGCCAACGAGCCCTCTTGAGAGATATGCCAATGGTCTTTCGGTAATAATCCAATTCGTAACCAACGAAAGGAATCTCCAGTCCCCCTTTGAACTTGTGGTATCCAAAGGGGGTGCCCACAATCTCATAGGTAGCAATCATCATCCACAACCAAAGAAACTTGTCAGGCCCCCAAACCAAAATGTGCAGGTCGTCCACATAAACAATCTGCAAGTTAGGTGCCTGCCTCAAAACTGAAGTGACCAACCTGCCCACCAAGGCAAACAGCCGCGTCCACCAGTACGATGCGGAACTGACTCCAAAGGTGCCCACGCAGTTGACCCACACCACCAATGAGTCTGAGTGGGCCCTGCAACAAAGCAGCCTCCAGTCTTTCTCACGGACCTTGACTAACCGGTGTGCAGCCTGAATGTCAGCCGAAATTGCAAAGCAAGACTCCCGCACCAAGCGAGAGGACTCAACCACCGCTGCTGCATCGCCAGGGCCAGGGTACTCCAGTTGATCTTGGAATTGAATTGCATTGTTGACTTGCACATGGTGTGTTGCATCATGTAAAGGTCTCACACCTCCATCCGGCTTCTCCAAGGCTCCCATCGGAGCTATCAGCACCTTCTGTCCAGCAAATCGCGACTGCAACGCCCCCAAGGTTGTGGGGTACATTCGACCCAAAGCTTCCTCCTCCCTGAATTTCTCCTCCAGCTTGTGTGACATGCCGTCTGCAGACTTATAATTGGCCGAGTCCTCCATGAAGACGGAGTCATCCAGTTTTCGAAATCTCTCCTTGGGAGGAAACACGGCTGACACTCGGGGCAAAGGTTGGTCGTAACCCACTGGTACCCCTGACGAGAAGGAATCGACCTCCTCTGTGAGCACCCGCCAGTCTGGGTCACCTAAGCCTTGTAACGTCTGAGAAAGAAGCTCCAGCAAAAAAGGCTGTCTCTCAGCCTTGAAGAGGGCCTTGTCCGGCCGTGACAGCAATTGTGCCCAACGTTTGCGCACCTCCTCTAAGGCCTCACTAGAGAAAGGAGACTTAGTCATCTTCCCAACTGCAAGCTCAAAGGATGCCTGCCTCAAGTCAGCGATGTTCTTTATCACAAAGCTCCGGACCAATTCATGAAGATCTTCGGCCAAGCCAGCTGCCGAGGTTTGCTGGAAAACAAAACGATCTGAAGGCCACCAGCGGTTGGGTGAGCAGAGGCCCAGACCATCCACCAATCGAGCACGCTTCAAATCCCAGTCAGACGAGATAGGCTGTCCAGAGCACCCCCCATTCTATAACGTCTTCTGATACCTCCTTGGCCTTGCCGTCGTCCAGGGGTGAGATGTTGTCCTCTGTCCCCTCTGTATGGCCCTGATCTTCCTCCTCTTCAGTAGCCGGCCGTACTTGAGATGGCCCATCCACTGCTGAAAGCGCTGGTTTGTCGAGGACTGTCCGCCCCCCAACGAAGCGAGACAAGAGCAATTGGGCTAAGTACTTGCAGAGCTTTGAAGGACAAGCTGCTGATGGAGATGTGTTCCAAACACCTTTGGTTTTTCCAATCAGCTTACGCACATGGAACCGATGACCACAGCCAGCCCCCAAAGGTCCAGAGTAAAAACCTTCTGCATCAAAAGTTGGCCACCCGCTGTGGGGCATTTCCTTGTCAATGTTTCCCAAGAACCGGGTGGGCTTGGGTGTGTCTGCGCCAAAATGGCATTGGTAGATTGCCCATGTTGTTGCGTCCGATTCCAGTTGCAATGTGCGTAGTTCATCCCATTGCCAGATGCTTCCAGGGGCATCGTCCGTGTCTTTGACTCTGCCCAAGTCCTCTGGGTGTTCCCACAAGTAGATCTTCCCAGCTTTGAAGGCTGTTGTTGCCATCCGTTTGCATTGAAAAATGAAGAAATTGTGTTCACCCAGAGTCTGTTTGTTGGCAGCTGAAACCCAAGGGAAACCATATGGATAATGCTTCGAACGAATGGGGCGTGGGCCCGGTGATCTCTTCCATAAATGCCTTGCCCTGCTAAATGTATTGCAGGGTGGAGACAAGAAAACTGCATCCCATTTGCCCTCTGCAACCTCTGTGAAAAACTTCTGCCAGAGCCCTTCGCCTGACAAATCATCCTCGCTGCTTCGAGCGATGTCAACCTCCCTGACATGCACTGTACATTTGAACCCAGGCGCCAAACGCGTCAACCAAGCTCTCAAATCGGATTTGCGCGGTTTCCCGCAGAAAAGGTACAAAACTCGGAAAACTGTATCTTTCTTCTCTGTGCTGTCGTGCTCCACCTGTAGTCACTCCTGGGGCGCTGCTGCAGGTTTGGTTGGTGATTTGCCCCTCTCCTTCTTGTTCAAATGATGTTCTCGGGCGCTGTGTTGACCAAAGCATCCACGAACCCTGCAGCAATGAACGCGGCCGCACTTGCCGGCACACCCTTGGGCGTTGTAGGCATAGCAAATGTCCCTTCCGTCTGGCGTTTGTGAGACCAGGGCTGTGTCCCCTTTGAAGCCAGACTTGCCTTTTCCTTTCTTGTAATTCTTGCCCTTGGATGATTTTCCCTTTCCGTAAGCACCAACAGGAGAGCTAAGATTCTGCCCTGAGTTGCCTTTTCCTGATGTCCTCTGGTACTTCGAGATGTGCTCATGTGATGCCAGAGTAAGGGGTGTGACAAAGAAAGACTCTTTGAGCTCCGAGTCTTTGATCACCGCCTCCAAGGCTTCCTTGAGCGATGACTGTCCACGCACCACCAGCTTGAAGGCTTCCTTCCTCAACTTAAATTCATAGTCCAACACAATGCTCCAAGGTGGTCGCAGTGGCTGTGTCACCCCGTTGATGGAGGTCTTGATTCCATTGACCCGCTCACCCAGAATGTATTCGACAAACTTGTTGAAATCTGAGAGGGTCAAATTCTGGAGCCACGCCTTGCTCTTGAACTTTGCAGCCATGCAAAGCCATGTCACGCCCTCGATTTTCAACAGACGCCTGTAATCTTCTGTGGTCTCGGGAAGCTTCCCTTTGCCTTTGATTTTCGTAACTCTCAAATGACCAGAAGCGTCCAGTGAAGTCTGTAATTCTGAGGTGTTTTTCTCTTGCTTCGAAACGATTTCGTCCAGAGGTGAAGCTGACGGTTCTCCATTCTCCACTTCCTCCAGTTTCAAAGCAATGTATTCGTTGGATGGCACCTCCGATTCCTGCAAGCGCCCATATGAGTTCTCAACTGCTTTCACCATTGCCTGCCGCTCTGAATGTTGCAGAATGCGGGGAGCACCCAAAACCTTGGATTCCGCAAACAATTCCTTTTCCTTTGCAGCCAGATCCTTTGCTAAGTTCCATGCTGACACCAACTTTGCCATGTTTGCTCTTGCCTCGGCCGATGCAGCTGGATCCAGTGCAAAATCTGCCTGTGCTGCTGTTCTGATTTCGCCTGCAGTATCACCCATAGCTGCGAAAATCTTGAGTGAATTGTAATGTCTCACAACTCTGTACTGTAGATCCAAAGGAACTGAACTGTCCTCCAGTACATACTGCAGATCTGCCGCCGCATTTTCCGTGACGAACTCACGTTTTGCCGCATCATCCAGTGCTGCCATGATTCCGCACAGGACAGTCTTCGCAGTTGAGAGATGTGAGTACTAAGGACCTGTTTCGTAAAAGTCCATCCCAACAAATATACTACACATTTGCAATCAAGCCTTCAATTTTCTGACAAAAGGAAATTGTCGGCCTTCAAAAAGAAACATGCAAACGTGAAGATCCACATGAAAAGAAGCTGAAACTCCAAAGTTAAAGTTGTCAAAAATTGCCGCTTGGTCTAAACTGAATGTATACTCGATTCAGGAAAATCCTGACCGCTGGAGCATGTAAAGTTCCAGAGAGTTCATTGAATGTCCACCTGACGTGTGGCTGAATCTGTCACGAATGTGACGTCTGAGACTGAATCTGAAAATCCTCTTCTCTGAAACTGAATCTCAAGCTGAACCTGACTTACCTATCAGCCTCAAACTGATTCGACGCTTCAATTTTCCCAAAATTCTTGAAAGCGTTCCAAACTGAGAAATCTCCTAATCACCAAATCACAAAATGCTGATAGGATCTCAAATGCGAGTCAAACCCTAAATAGAACATCTGATCCGAGAATGCTGACTGTTGCATCTCTTTTCCGACCCCAGCATGTTCACGCAAAGCTGACTCCTAATGCAGCGGAGATTTCACCCGCTAGATGGCATCTTCCATCTCCGGGATGTCTGAATCAGTGGATGAAGAATCGCCCACAGAATCGCTGTCTTCATCAGCCTCTTCTGCGTTCTCTTGCGACTGGATCTTCCTCTTGCAGTTGAGGCAGACTGCATCGAAGGCAGCCTGCTTGATGTCTTGCACCTCTTCCATCCCCTGGCACTTCCAAGCCTGGACGGGACATGCTCCCGACATGTGCAATCTTCGGAAGCCATTCCTCCGAGAGATGGTGATATAGTATCGAGGGATGTTGCCAGATGAATCCACCTGAGGCTCAAGCACCGGCGGGCCCTCGGCCACCAATCGCCTCTGGCACACATCCTCATCTGCCAAGCTGTCATCTGAATCCTCAGCCAACATCAAGCAAGGCTCCAACTTGCTCAACGGAAGCACTTTGTGCCTCCTCCGTACACGAAAGCCCACAAGGCCTTGCTTCTCTGCAAACTCCTTGAAGTCGTCCAGGAGCTCGTCTTCGTTGTAGCCCCCCTCTGCATGAAGTGATGCCAGGATCTCCTGTTGGACCTTCTCGACGACTTGCCGGGACGTGTGCAGATACGCATCGCTCCCCACACGGCCTATGGCCCAACGTCCCAAATAGTCTCGACGTTCCTTGCCAATCCCAATTGCTGCAGCAGCCTGCGTGGCAAAATGCCTCGCACTGTGGCCTGTCCAGAACAAGTTGGTTGTTTCCGGCACCAGGCAGAGCTGTTCATTGGAGATCCACTTTCCGTCATGGAATCTGGGCGTTGGAAGTCTGGACAACACCATTGGAAAATAGTTTGCAAGCTCCGGGGGCTCAACCACCTTCGGAATGAATCCGGAGTAGCTCTTGGCCGGTCCTGGGATCAAGTATAATCTCTAGGAAATTTCATGTCATCGCGTTGCAATGCAAGAATCCCAGAAGTCATCCAGTCTTCTCCTGTGATCGAAATGTCTCTTGCCACAAAACCATGTATGGCTCCATGCAATCGGCCCGGACCCGAAGTCTTGGTCCTTGAGAGTCTGAAGCTGAGCCCTCTGGTGCTTAACCTGACCGTCTCAGGCTGTATGTTCTGTATATCATCCACCCTCAAGGATGCCCAATTTGCCAAAAGCATGAGCCAACTGACAAAACGAAAATAAACATCAATCTCCGAATTGTTTGTGAAGAGCTCCAATGCGATCAAAATTGCTGTTGTATAAGGCCTTGCTGGTCCACGACCCCCACTGTTGTTCACTAATGTCATCTTCCAGCTTTTCAGATGTTCACCCAACAGTGGATCGCTCGAAATACGATTTGACTCCAGCACCTTGCCCACCTGTTCTAGCAGCGTAAGCGCCGCCACAAATTCTCCAGGAAAAGAGATGGGACAGCCAAAGTCAATGAGCTCCTCCACAAAGTTTATGACCTGGGTCACGTTCTTTGGCCAAACCAACCCGTAGGTCGCAATCATCCATGCCCTAAATCTGGACCAAGCACGGAAACGATTGCGCAGCGTCTTTGATCGACGGCTGCCCCAAATCCGTATCCAGGCTGTCTCCGGCTTCTCCAGCTCCACAATCTGCAAAGAAACAGGTAAGCAAGCCTCTTCGAGGATAGTACCCAATTCCAATGCATAGCGACGACGCTCTTTGTCCTCTTTCTCCGCTCTACTGCCAGGAAGCGCAGATTCAACCCTTCGCTTCTGTGACCTCTTGGCCATCTCCAGAAACACCTTCGGATCATTTCGAATGATATTCTCAAAATCATGTGCAGCCTTAGTGGGAACCGGCTCCCCTGTCACCAACAAAGTTTGTGAGACCCTCTCCAGATGCAATCTGCGTTGTCGTTTAACCAATGATGAATGTGCAGCCTTCCACGTCATCAATGACTCAGTGGCCTGATGCAAGAAATCCTCACTAGTAGAAGAAGGCAGAATTGTACGAAGTAAATCACTAGCCTCCTCTGACGTGTCAAAAGCAGAATCAAAATGCCGGAGTTCGCCAAATGTATCTGAAATCAATTGCACTGCAGATGCACCCAGAAACAGTGACAGATCTTCCATGGCTCGCGGCCCCACGGGCGTGCAACGCGCCCCTGGCTACAAAGAATTAAGAATGAGAGCTCAGCCAAATCTGCCGAACAAATGATCACTGAATCGATCCTCACTGAAATGAGTTCACGAGTTAAAGCCAGGCAAACCTCTTCACCTCACGCCTGTGCAATCTGAAAGTGGTCATGCAAGTAACGATCTCAAATCTCTGATGTCATGTCAGTGTCAGCTGAAAGTCGTCATGCAAGTAACGATCTCCAATCTCACGCAACATCCAACGTTGAAATCTGCAAAACGTCAAACTGAAACGATAAACGCCGAAATCATGCAACTCTGAAACTGAAAACAAACGAGATTGGCCAGCTGAAATAAGAAACGATTCGGAAGTGCCGAAAATAAAACTGAAGCTAAAACTAGACGCGCCGCGCCAGACTTCCGAGAAACGAAACAAGAGAAACTTCCGCAAGGGAGCAACCCCCACACCCGGGAGACCACGGGAGACGACGACCGAGAGGAAGAGAAGGGCAAGCCCCCCCACGACAGACAGACACCAAGACACCCGGAGGAGAAGTGCACCCTAAGCAACCCACCCTCCCCCCCAGGCAGTCCCAACCAAACAGTCACCAAAGGGAACCTTTAGTACCTTGTCACACAATCCTACAATCATACAATCATACACATACAAGCATACACATACAACCATGCAATGATGTTGCACACAGGTATGTGACGTATTCCCATGAATGCAGTACAAACACATAGTGTGCAAGTGTTCGCGTTGCACACTTTTGTGTTCATAGTTCGGTCCTGCTGTTGACAACATTGTCTATGAATCTGCGGCAGGCAACCAACATGAACTCATACATACGCAATCATTGTGGATTACACATTGTTACTAACTGGATGTGGTCTTGTGGTCGTCATGACAACGCTGCCACCTGCAGTTTACCAAATCGTTTGTCAAATCTCTTGCCTCTGCGCCTGCAACCTGGCAGTTGCCCAGGCCGATTTTCAAAATGTTGGTGTCTGCGCATGCGACCGTTGGAGTTCAGGGGATTGATTGTCAGATCCCTGGTCTCTGCAGATTTTGAAACTGATGGTGTCTGCGCCTGCCACCCATGGAGTTCAAGGGATTGATTGTCAGATCCCTGGACTCTGCGTCTGCCACCTGTGCAGTTTACCAGACTGATGGCTAGATCCTTGGTCTTTGCGCTGCATCTGCCACCTGGCAGTTTACCAGGTTAATTTTCAAAATGTGGGTGTCCGCGCCTGCCACCGGAGTTCAGCGAGTTGATTGTCGGATCCCTGCTCTGCCTGCCACCCGTGCAATTTACGAGAGTGATGGTTGGATCAAGTTGCATCCTTGTTCTCTGCGCCTGCCACCCGTGCAATTGACCGCATTGATTTTCAAACTGTTGGTCTTTGCACCCGCCCTCAGTGCAGTTTGCCAAGTTAAGTTTAAAAATGTTGGTGTGCGCGCCTGCCACCGGTGCAGTGAAGCGGATTGATTGTCAGATTCCTGGTCTCGGCGCCTGTCACCCGTGCAGTTTACCAGGGTGATGGTTGGATCCTTGGTCTTTGCACCTGCCACCCATGCAGTACTGGATCGCGAGTCAGGTTTTGCGCTTTATTGCCACTTCACTGAGTCCATGCCACCTTGGCCGTCGCGTTACTTTAAACGCACGCCGCCGTGACGGTTCGATATATCACTTCAGGCTTTGCAGTCGCCGTTTTGCTTTAGTGGTTTTCAAGCTGGTTCGTCTTAGGATTGTTCCCTTTTCCGTGCCATGTTGTCCGTCATACTTTTGCTTTGGTTTACGCTGTGCGTGCTTGAACCTTCTTTGATTATGCGTCAAATTTAGCGCTGTCACTTGTTGCTATTTGCCGACACGTTCTGCAGATCAGTCTTTCCCGCCTTTGTCCTTGCTTTTCTTTTCGCCCACAATGTCGTGATGGTTCAATATGACGCTGCAGGTTTCGTCAGTCATGTTGTGTTAAGTGGTTCTCACGCTGGCTTGTCCTGAGATTGTTCCCTTTGCCTTGCCATGTTGTTTGTCATACATTTGTTTTGGTGCGCGCTGCGCTTGATCAAACAAGGTATGCGTCGAATTCAGCGTTGTCAGTTTCTTTTCGCTTGCCAACGTCTTTTGCGAATCTAGTTTTTGCAATGATTGGTATTGGACATTAATCTCATACATGTCCTTCATGATAAAACTGTCTTTGTAAATTGCTGTAACGCATCCAAAGCACATTTCTCACACGTATTGTCTGCATTTACAATCATCACAATCAGTATCTGAACGTCAGTGCGTGAAATACAGAGAAACGGGACACTAAGCGAAACCACCATTTAGTCATGAAAAAGTTTTCGTGCATTGCGTGCAATCGTACTTTGATTTGACGCCAATCGTATTACCCGTACATCTTTTACTGAGTCGCTGTCACCCACGTCTCTGCTGTTTTTAACCCACGATGTTGTAATGGTTCGAGATGACTCTTCAACTTTCGGCGGCCGTCTATTTGTCAATCGTCTGCAAGACCGCGTGTGTTAAGATTGTTTTCTTTACGTTGCCGTTTCGTTGCTTCAAAATTTTGTTTCGGTTTGCAGGGTGCTTGGTCTAACCATTTATGGATCGACTTCTTTTTTGCCACGCCCTGCCCCCCCCTCCTGCAAAGTAAATCTACAAGTGTATGAGTGCATCATATACTGCGTTTAAGTGCTTCTGCCCAAGAAAACTAAATGTGTATGCCATTAAAAACATCAGAACCCTCTGGAACTTCACAAAGCATCTGCACCCGAACTTTCCGGAACCTTACCGAGCACCTGCACCGGAACCCTCCAGAAGACCCCTGGCTATCTGCACCGGAACCCTCCAGAACCTCACCAGGTACCTGCAACTGACCTTTCTGGAACCTTACGAAGTACCTGCACCGGAACCCTGCGCAACCTCACCGGCTATCTGCATTGAAACCCTCTGAAACCTCACCAGGTATCTGCACCGAAACCCTCCAGAACCTCACCAGGTACCTGCACCTGAACTTTCTGGAACCTTACCGAGTACCTGCACCGGAACCCTGCGCAACCTCACCAGCTATCTGCATTGAAACCCTCTGAAACCCTACCAGGTATCTGCACCGAAACCCTCCAGAACCTCACCAGGTACCTGCACCTGAACTTTCTGGAACCTTACCGAGTACCTGCACCGGAACCCTGCGCAACCTCAACGGCTATCTGCATTGAAACCCTCTGAAACCTCACCAGGTATCTGCACCGAAACCCTCCAGAACCTCACCAGGTACCTGCACCTGAACTTTCTGGAACCTTACCGAGTACCTGCACCGGAACCCTGCGCAACCTCACCGGCTATCTGCATTGAAACCCTCTGAAACCTCACCAGGTATCTGCACCGAAACCCTCCAGAACCTCACCAGGTACCTGCACCTGAACTTTCTGGAACCTTACCGAGTACCTGCACCGGAACCCTGCGCAACCTCACCGGCTATCTGCATTGAAACCCTCTGAAACCTCACCAGGTATCTGCACCGAAACCCTCCAGAACCTCACCAGGTACCTGCACCTGAACTTTCTGGAACCTTACCGAGTACCTGCACCGGAACCCTCCGGAACCCGGCTATCTGCACCGAAATCCTCCGGAACCTCAACAGGTATCTGTACCAGAACCTGAACCCTCCAGAACCTCACCAGGTATCTGGGAACCTGGTGTTGAAGCTGCATCGGATCGCACCAGAGCTAATCTGGGCTAAAGACCCCATACAGTAGCAAAGTTTTGCTGTTGGGGAAAAAAACACAGTTTTTATGGGTGGGATTTCAACCATCCCCAAATGGTAGGTTTCTGACATAGGGTTTGCCACATTAATAGGCGTATAATCCAGCCATAAATGAGATATAAATGGTTATAATCTTAGTTGGTAATTATGGGTGCTACTTGATTACAATCTGACATAATCTGACCATAGTGTGAACTGGAATGATCAGTAATACCCTCTGGTAAACTAACATAGTTGTGGAAAATCACCATGTTTAATAGGTAATCAACTACAAATGGGCCATTTTCTAAAGCTATGTATGTAACAAATTACCAGAATGAAGCTGCCTAAATTTACCCATCTTTAGGTGTTCGAAACCTTCAAAAAAAGAAAACGTGTATGAATGGGTTTGCCAGATTGCCTCAAAAAATGCTTTCCCCACAATGGGATCACCCTTCATCTCGCTATGATCACCAAAAAGGCTGCCTGCCCAGCTGCCGCAGCACCAATGGCAGCATTCATGGATGGCGTGTCCCACCTGCACCCGAGCCCTCTTCAAACCAGCCATGGGAATGGGGCATGGGGCCACTAACCATACCACCATACCGCCCATAATGGTGATTTCCGGTGATGACTGGGGCTGAAATTGTGATAAACCCTCAAGATGTTCCAGTTCTTGGGTGATGCGCGCGAAAAATGAGGAGGATGATATGGGATTTACAGATATGTTCCCTTGTGTTCCCAATAGTGAAGATGATTTTCTCTATGCGGTGAACCCGATGAACACCTCCAAGTCCCGTCACATGATATGACTGACATTATCTCAGATAGTGTTGGTCCAAGATGTAAATGGCTATGTGTGTGGTGTAAACAAGTTAAAAGCCCTTGTCATGTTACAAAACTATGTCTTGGTGCGTAGCAGACCCAATTAGTCTTAAGCCTCACGCTGGGAATGTTTTAAACTCCATGCATTTCTGGGAGGTCCTTGGGGCTACTGTGAAGCACCAAGTCTCCCCGTGAAAGCAGCACCCAATTCATCTGTTGTCATCCCCTCCCGGTTGAGGGTTGGCTTCCGGTTGAGGGTTGGCTTCCGATATTGGATCACATAGCCGAGGACACTCTCAACCAGCCGCATAGAATCAAGTCTACATTAGTCTCTAAACACAATCCAACCACTACAACAACAATGTTTTTTTAACCCCCGAATCGCATCAAAGCGCCAACTCTCACCACTTTTTACCACTTTTCACCACGTTTCACCACGCCTCGTGGTTCCCGCACGTCGCATCTGCACGAAAAGGTCGATTGCCCACAGCCACTGCGTAGCAGCACTCATCGCGCGTATGAAGGACGTCACTAGAGGCCTGGCCAAACCAATGAGATGGTGCTGGGTTTGATAGCGATGTGGCTTAACCAGCTATAGATACTGAGATCAAATTATCTATACATGATGTATATATATATAGTGTAAATATAGATCTAGCATGATCTAGCTATTTGTTAGAACATGTAGCTCTATATCGATATATCGTCAAAACTGTGTTGTGTGAAGGAGGGGGGGGCTTCATTTGAGCTACTCAGCAAACCCTTGGGGGTACTGAGTTAGTACTGTGGTAAAATATAGATCTAGCATGATCTAGCTATTTGTTAGAACATGTAGCTCTATATCGATATATCGTCAAAACTGTGTTGTGTGAAGGAGGGGGGGGCGGAAATGCACCCGGCCTATATACGCCTATGTATATATGCACCAGGCCCTGCCCCCCCCCCCCTCCCCCCCCATATGGGATGGGTCCCATATACTGGTCCCATATGAGATCTTCCCCCTCCCCCCCCTGTGGTGTGGTGGGGGTGTGGCACTGTCCCCCTCCCCCCCCTGTGGTGTGGTGGGGGGGTGGTATGGTATGGTGGGTATGTATGGTGTGTATGGTCGGTCTGGTATGGCATGTTTGGAAAGTATGGTATGTTTGGTATGTATGGTAGGTATGGTATGTATGGCATGAGTGGTTGGTATTGTATGGATGGTAGGTATGGTGTGTAAGTCTGTTGGATATGGTATGTTTGATATGACAGTATGTATGGTCTGTATGGTATGTATGGTTACTATGATGGGTATGGAATATGTCCTATCTAAGGTAGGTATGGTATGTATGGCATGTATGCTTGCTATTGTATGTATGCTATTGTATGTATGGTAGGTGTGGTAATTACATTTCATATGTATGGTATGTATGGTATGTATGATAGATATGATAGGTATGGTATGCATGGCATCATTGACATGTATGGTAGGTACGGTATATGTTCAACAGAGGTAGTGTTGTCAGAGTACACAGGTAGTAAACAGGAAGTAGATACAGTAGATACATAGCACATATATGTATGACTATAGGTAGCACGTAGGTACTTTGAAGGAGTATGTGTGCTACGTAGGTCGCCTAAAAGGTAGCATGTACCTAGTAAATGCGAGGCTGGTAGTCAGAAATGCTGCAAAGACCTAGCAAATACGAAGCTGGACCTCAGAAATGCTGCCAATAGCTTGCAAATAGAAGGGAATTGGGGCTACTACCTGGGGACCCAACCCATGGGGGGGGGGTGGAGAGACGGAGGACGGGACCATATATATATATATATACAGTATATATGTATATATATATATATTTATAGCATATTGTCGATGTTGGGAAAAGTGTGAAAGAATGGGGGGAAAAGCCGTCGGGTCGAGATATTGCCATCTGTGGGATGGCGAAGCGCAACCCAGAGAATGCTTTTTAGATACATATGCGTATATCTATACAATACATGATATACGGAAATGAATGGAAATGAGGAAGCAAGGGTTGGAATCCCCTTTCTATTTCTGTGAAATTTGGGCTAGCCCATGATTTTAGCCGCCGATCCAACAATAGAATTAGCTCTTGACAGCCTCCAAAAGTGGAAAACGACCTCAGAAATTGCATGGGGTACTGTAACTACTTTCGACCAAGAAACCAATTTGATTTCGTACAAATTTTGGCACCTATGATAATTTCTAAACTGGTTTTTTTCTGCATAAATACGCGATCTCTCGTACCACATTTCCCCCCTACTTATCATCATTTCCAGTGACCTCGTGCTGATGTCGCTCTAATATACCCAAAACCTCATGCTCCTTTATAAAATCCCATGTTATGTTCATTATATTCCCAGAAACTGGTTGGTGATTATACCCCCATAACTTGCTCGGCTTATCCCATTCCCCTCCATCCCACCATGGTGCGTCCCTCACGCCCAAGCAACGCAGTCACGGAGGTTGCATCGGCCGTTTTTCGCTGCAGCAGAAGCTGCAGTGCCGCCTGCCACTGCTGCGCTTCCGCCAATGCGGACATCCTGAGCAACGGACGGTCACCGAAAAATGGGGGAAGTTGACCAACTGACCAACAAAACATGGGAATATCGGGAGAGAATGTGATCACTACCATGAAGCAAGTTGTTTAATTGAGTTTTGTGCATTGAGATAAGTCAAATGTTGATGTTAATCAAAGAAAATGGCGATTCAGCGTTCTTTCTGTTTCCTGCATGCACATCACTTTTCAAAGGGGGGGCGTTAACAACTTTGTTCCATTCTTCAAGCACCAAAGAGTGATGTTTGATACCGCCAAAGAAGCTGAATGTATATAGGGGTTTCATAAATGGGGGTACCCCCAAAATCATCCATTTTGATAGGATGTTCCATTATAAACCATCCAGCTATGGGGGTACCCCCATTTTAGGAAACCTCCATGTACTGAGGGAGTAGAAGCAATGAATCCTGGCAGAAACAAATGGGGCTATGAGGTCCAACGACTTGGCAACTGAAGCAAGTGTAGGCTGACCCCCGGCAGAGATCGGTAAACAGTTTGGAGGCAAGACGGACCCTGGGGAATAATGGACATCTTGGCTCTCTCTAATCTTAGGATGCCACACGTGGCATTTTGTTTCATTGTCTCGCATTTCCCCACTCTTCGACTCTTCCCCACATTTCCCAACATTTCCCCACAACTTCTCCAATTTCATGTGACATTTCAATCTTTCTCCTCCAATTTCAGCATCGCAGCTGACATCGTTCTGAATTCACATCATGTCATTCATGTTATCAACATTCATCATCTTCACCCCCCTTCACCATATATTTTCCCATTTTCATCTCAGATATTTCCCCTTTCACCATATATTTTCCCATTTTCATCTCAGATTTTCACCATTTTCACATATTCACCATATATTTCCCTGTTCCCCACCGTTGACCCTCCATTTGACCATCGCGTGGCGCCGCCCCGTGCAGCGCCGTATCCGCCCTGGCAGTCGCACCGTAGACCTCCAGCGCCCTTCGCCAGTGCTGGGCTGAGCCCAGGGCGGCCACCAGGGCGCAGGAGACGTGGAGATTGGCGCCTGGCCAGATTCAAACAATATTATATATATATATGTATATATATATATATACATACATATATTATATCAGATGTATAATATATACAGTATATAATGTGGATATATTAATATATTAATGTGTATTATCAGATTGGTAATTGATAATGGTTAGAATCTTAGTTGGTAATTTTGGGTGCTAGTTGATTACAATCTGACATAATCTAACCATTTTGTGAATTGGAATGATCAGTTACAATGTGGATAAAGCAATAATAAACCATCCCCAATTTCACCATTTTTATAGGTGGTATGGTTACCATTCCCAAATGGGTGGTTGATGATTGTTTTTCCCATTATATCAGGTGTATGTATTTATTTATTTATATATATATGTGTGTGTGTGTGTAAAGATATTATATTAGCACATTCTAATTTCTAATTGTATTGTATGTAAAAATATGTATGTGATCATATGTGTGTATATATATATACAATGTGTGTATATATATATATACAATGTGTATATATATAGATATAGATATATTGAGATGTCATATTTATATACATATACATATACATGTACATCTACATATACATATACAGAAAAATGTTTCAGATTCTGTGATTCTGTGGTGAAATGTTGCATCAGTCAAAGGTAAAGAAATGAAAGACATGACCAAACCTTGCATTTTGCCACAGTACCGTGCCTATTTTAAACATGACTGAACTTCAACGACCTGCTAAGGTCACAAAAGAGTAACCATATACGTGTGTATAATGTGTACATGTGCGTGTGTACGTTATTTCGTAGATGTCAAGGACATATCTGCTACCCAAAAAGTACTCTATCTTGGGGGTGCTAGCATACATATATATATAGGATGTTTATCTACTTATTATTATCATATAGATATATATATATATATGTATATGTATATATGTATATGTATATTTGTATATGTGTGTGTATATGTATATGTGTATGTACATATATATATATATGTAAATATATATATACATACATATATACATATATATACATATATATATACATATGTATATATAAATACAAATATATATATATACATATATACATATAGATACATATATATATACATATATATATATACATATATATATATACATATATATATATACATATGTAGACATATATAATATCATATATACGGACCGATGCCTTGATGCTGCATCTGCGGCTGGAAGGTTAAAAAGTGACTTGCTGGCCGTCTGCATGTTACCCACGTTGCTCACATCTAGGACCTGCATTTCTGCGCCTAATAGCTGTGCCAACACTTCGCATCCCACTGTGGCACCATTTAGCCAATGCACAGGGAGAAACTGTGATGACACTACATAGCTTCTGAAAGACATCTTGTCTCATTGTCCATGGCCCATCTGGCCAATCAGAAGGCCGAAACTGCAACTTACATAATCATTGCTGGAGTCTTTCTTGTCACACTGCCCATAATATCTTTGATCGTCTGCCAGTTGGCACTCAATGGTTCGAAAAAACATAAAAGCATAGATTGAACACATCTGGGGGGGTACTGGTGGGGGGTAGCATATACATATATATATATATATACATATACACGGATATTTATAGGTAATATCATGTGATATCATAATATCATGTGATATCATTGAATATATCATGGATATGTTATGATATGTTTATAAAACCAATTCTTATGGTCATATTGGATCGATGATAAGAGCTACAAGTTTGGGCTGGTTTATTTGCTTAGGTGTATTCACTGGTTTATAGTTTATAAATGGATATCATTAGTAACTAGTCAATGATGAATGATGAAAAGTTGGACTATAGATTATTGGATGCATGATGGATATGCTTATATATATATATATGTATATCCAATTGTAATGGTCAATAATGGATGTGATTGATCTGTATATGGATACTGTAAGTACTGTACTCACATGGTTTTCACCAATGATTGATGATTAAGAGTTAGGTAATGGACGACTATATAATCAGATCATCCATGTTCTCTTGATCATGGATCAGTATAATAATTTGGATTAATCAGTGGATGACCCATATCGTGGATGTCCCAAATATATGGCTGTTCATTGGTTATTGACCAATAATCAATGATTAAGAGCTGAATAGGAGTGACGTTTTATGTTTAGCCCCATACTTATGTGTATATATCATCATATACATATATATGTATGCATGTATCGATATGTATATATGTATATAGTATAAATATGTGGTTGAGAGAGAGAGAGAGAGAGACAAGGGTCTCTCCTCCGCATGGTGTTCTGTTTTAGGATTATTAACCACCATCAAGCCCTTTTTGGGTCTTATTGAGCCCTATTCGGGGGGGAAGTGACCTGGATGATTGACCTCCACTTCTCAACGGAACATAGAACAGGCCGCAAGGAGTCCGTACGATGATGGGAAATCCATCATATGTATATGCATATGTGTATGTGTATGTGTATGTTTATGTGTATGTGTATGTATAAATAAGGTATACATATACATATACATATAAATACCTATACATATAAATACCTATACATATACATATACATATACATATACATATACGTATACGTATACATATACATATACATGTATATATACATACATATATATATATACATATACACATACACATACACATACACATACATGTGTGTGTGTGAATTTATATATATATATAGATATATATTATGGGATGGGGTTACAACTACCCACAAGTAAATGGGATTGAATTATACCAAATATGATGCAAGTTCTACAGTACACCGTTTAACTGGCAGGAGCCCATCACCTTCCACCATGAATTCGCCACGATTTCATCACCATTCCAAGTGATGTCAATGAGCGCAAGAACATGCAAATCTTTATGAAAAGAAAAGACATCTAGCCAAGCCAAAATTTGGCATGAGTCAAGTAATTTGGTACCCAAACAAATGAGTTTGCTTTCTGCAAATGGGCTCCTGGGCGGGTAGCTGTAATTCGAGGCAACCTCCAAGCAACCCAAAAAAATTAGATCCTCATTTTTGCGCTTTAAATTCAGATCAGTAGAAAACTTCTGATCGGGTCCCGGGCGGCTTGGTCCCCGACCTGACTGCAACTGCTCAAAGACCTCCAAGGCTTCGAGCCACCTGGCAGTCTGGATGGACCATCTGTAGATGAAAAATGAGGGATTTACCATGGATTCACCGATGAAAAATGCTGATGTTCCATTGCAAAGTGTTAGTTTACCAAAGGGTAAGCGGATCATGTGTGAAAAAGCTTTTTGAACTCACCACTGATGTGAATTTCACTCAATGTCTGATGATTTTTCTGTATGCTTCAATCTTGAAACAGAAAAATGCTGTAGCCTCTGGCCAAGTCGCTGCAAAAACAAGGTGAATTTAGCACAAATTGCCACATTTCTAGGCTGATACCATCAACATCATTGGTGGGAAATTCCCATCTTCAATGAGCTCATCCAACAGCGAGCTGCAAGTGGCAGAAAAACACAAGTAGCATGACCGATGCCGTTTTTTCCCCAATCGATGGTGAATCACTGATACTTAAATCATCTTAAATCTAAGTTGCCGATATTTGAGTATCACCAAGTTTTTTCCCATCTCTTATACTTCTACTCTCCAAGTTATGATACTTAAATCACCATGTGTGTTGCTTCAATCCCTCCTTTTTGCATGCGTTTGCGTCTTAAATCCCTCACATGGGTTGTGCTTAAATCAACGACCATCCCATGTGTTTCTGCTTCAATCACTTCAATCCCAACATGTCTATATAAATTTCCCATTATTCGTTTGTTATATCCAGATGTTTGATGCTTATTTCCGCAATTTTGATTGCAAAACCCTCTACTAAACCCTTTTTGATGGAAAAATCTCTCACTTCTTGGCTGGCGATATCCCCACCTTTCTTGATGAAATTTCCAATGTGTGATGCTTCAGTCCCCATTCTTGCCGGTAAAACCACGGTAAAGCCCCCTTCTTTGTTGTTTGAATCATAATTGTTGTTGCTCAAACCACCATGCGTGTTGCTTAAATCATCGTGTTCATTGGATAAATCCAAGTACTTTATGGCTTAAATCACCACTTTTGTTGCTCAAATCCGCCAGTTTTGCTGCTGAAAACATTCCACCGGATCTCCACCTGGTTGAGTGCCCACAGGCGCTGATCGCAGCGGATGCCACCCAGCTGCCCAGTGACAGCCCGCGCTGCCTTTGGTCCCTGCGACAGCACACTGGTGGAGTTTCCCATGAAAAAATGGCTGGTCTAACCAGCAAAAATGGTGATTCAACCAACAAAAAAGTGGATCTATCCAATGAAAATGATGATTAAAGCAGATTTAAGGAACAAAAATGATGATTCAAGCAGCGAAAATATGGAGTTCACCAGGAAAAACACATGCAAGCGAAAAATTGGAATTTTCGCCATGAAAAATATGGGGGCACAATTTGATGTTATCATCAAAAATTGTCAGAAAATGGGAGGCAACCATCAAAAAGTTGGATTTGACCAAGTAGGCCTTAGGATGGTACTATAAAATGATTGTGTCATCCCAAGTAGATCATCTTTTTGCTTGCCATATTCAAGTTCCAATCTCTAACGAAACTGGTATCGATTGGATCAAAAGTCACCTTAAGTTTCCCCGCGGGTCAACCGTCGAGTTGCCAAGTAGCAAGGCCGCTATCTTTTCGTTCTCGGGAGTGTTCTTTTAAATGGTTCATTGATGTCAAAAACCCGATCCAAACGCGCTGTCTTCAGATTCATCGCTGTTGAAATCCCTCCCAAGAATTGGGATCAGTATAGTCAACAAATGTTTTGTCGGGCGAATTAACCATCCAAATCCATCTAAATCCATGATCCATGGCTATTTTTTCTAGGAGGATGCAACGATCATGTGGCTGGCAAACTCTTAGTAGTTTCTAGTCCTCTTGGCTAGGTGCTGCAACCTCTCCCCTTAGACTCCTGACAGGTTTCCTATGAATCACATGGCGGACTGCGGATCAGCTGGTTTGCTTTAAAAGAATCTTAATCTATTTCGACTTGAAATACGATCTGCCACACAGGCCACACGAAATAAGGATAATTGATCCGTTGCTGATGATGATGATGATGAATATTTCTAAGACTCTGAAAGGGAAAAAACCTTCTTCCTCCTGATGGATATCCGAAGCGCTCCGAACCGCTCCGTCCCTGGCCTGAGCAGCTGTAGCGCCAGCCTCCAACGGCGACTCTTCTCCATTGCACCTCAGCGAGTTTCAAAAGCAGTGAGGCCACTGAAAAAACAATTGAGATATAAAGAAAATAACCAACCAAAAAGGAACTTAGAAAATTAGAAACTTGGGGTTTATAATGTTTATATAATTTTATATATGAAACCAAAGTTGGGATGTGTTGGGATGTTTCACCAAAATGTGCGGCTTGACCAACCAACAAATGGGACTTCAAAAGGAGAGATGCACCAGCAAATCCAAAAGGATTCACCATGGATTCAGGTGAAAAGTAACCCAATTTCAAGAACTTATTAGAACAGATCCACGAAGAGGAAGTTCACCCAAGTCCCATACTACAGTTTTTTGCAGTCCGAGATGTGGCTACTTAAAGTTACTTGGTGGCACACACGCACATCCCACGAATCCGAAGTAGTTAGTTCACCCTATTTTGTTCAGTGCGTTAACCCAAATTCTCCCAAGAACACCAGGGGTGAACTAAGCTACTTAGGATTCGTGGCTTCCGAGGCTCCTCACTGACGCAGGCCCCAAAGCTCCTGACGTCCGGCTGGACCTGAAAAAATGGCGGGGTTGGACACCAAAGAATGAGCGTTCTTTGAACCAACAAAAAGTTGGCTGGCCAACATCAATTCTGGTTTGAAGACAAACAAAAACCTGTGGTTTTGGCCAGGAAAAGGCGGATTACCCGAGGATTGCCACTCTGGGGTTCGTTGTGTTTCACCAAGAAAATTGTCAGGTTGAACAGCTGGTTTTCCATGTACAGCAACAAAAATCCATCCCTGACAGGCCATGATACTTTCCCTGTGAGGATTTCTCCAAGAATCAAATGTGGCAATGGAGTTCCTCCGCTATTCAGAAGGAGGCTATGAATGGGAAAATCATCTACACATAGCGGCGATTTCAATGTAGTAATGACATGTAATGACCAACAATCCTGTTGTTACCAATTGGAAATGAGAGAAGGATTCATCAAGGAAGTGCCGGAAGCCAAAGTATTCGCTCTCTCAAAATCCCAAGAAAACACAACAAGGCCAATCCGTTGATCGATCCAACGGGGCCCAACTGGGATCTAATGATTGGCCTTTTAAAAAATAAGTGGATCCAGTATGAAGCCTTACCGGTAAATAGCAAGAACAGCTAACTGGGCCATCTAAACCATAGTTCTAGTGTATTATTAAAATACCCCTTTGCGAACTGGTTTACATGGCTCATTTAGTTTGATGACTGATCTATTTTAAAGTGATGATGTTGCAGAAAGAGCATTCTGAGTCGTCACCTGGTGGAAATGGATCTTCCATGGCTGGTGGAGACGATCAGACTATGATGTTGGAACCTGTTCCTCGATCTGAACATGTTTAGCATCATGATGTTGTAAACAGTTGATTTTCTGAATATCTGAATATGAAATATCATTATAAGACTATGATGGTACTCTGAATATCAAATATCAAATATCTGAATATCTGCATCTCATTACTATGATGCTGTATCCTTTTATACATGTTGGTGAACAGTAAACATCAACCATTTTCTTCTGGTCAACTCCCAGATCACTGGTCACTGATCTTTTTTTCACCATCCCAACGGTCCCAACGGTCCCAAGCCCAAATTCTCTGCCACTGGCCTGTATCTAAATACCAAACATACATATACATATACATTTATGTATGCAGATACATACATACATATACAGATACATAAATACATATATACATATATATATATATACATATTTATACACACATACATAGAGGCTTTGACGGGTAGTAAGAATATTTTTTTGTGCTTGCTGGAGCTTTGTTTCAGGCAAAATCAGGTAAATAAGGAGTGCACAAAATGAGGCATCTAGAAAGGTTACCCCCTCACAATCTAGAAACGGACCCCAGTAAGCAGAATCTCAGAAAGTGTGGGTCATAGTGGATTGTGAATCTGCTTACTGCAGCTGCTAATCTGATGACTCGAAAGGGAAAGAAACATCTCCAAAGTTTCAGATGCCATTAAACGTCTGTGTCATCTTATACATCATAGATATTTACATAGATAGTTCCCAAACTATGAAGTGCCAACCATCCCTCACCATCCCGAAGCACCTGTCGTTTTGGCATCTCCTCCAGCAATGCCAGGGACACTTCCCAGCGACTCGCCCTGGCGCAGGCGCTAATAGTGGCGTTGAAGGTGACCACCGAGGGCAGCACCTGAAGCGGAGATCCTGGTGCTATATGGATAGATATAGACATAGACATAGACACAGAGATGGATGGATGGATGGATGGATGGATGGATAGATGGATAGATGGATAGATGGATGGATAGATCGACAACGGGATACTCAATGAAAGTTCATGGGATTTGATGTGTGTTGGGGTATATTTAATGGGATTTTATAAGATATTTAATAGGATGTAACGGATATGATGGGATGTATGTATGTATATATATATATACATATAATGTAACTTAACCAAGCAACGATGATGATTTGATGGGATTAACAGTTAAGTGGAGTAGTAAGATAGCTATACAAGTTACGTGCCCACATAGCAACGATGACACCCTGTTGATCCCACTGTTGATCTACACACAAACAACTGGGCGGTTTCTACACTAACCCTCAGTTAAACAAAGTTACGGAAAATCTCCCATGGATGATTTATGATGATTTACCTATGAAAAATGGTGACGTTCCATAGCTACGTATAAAATCACCGGTAGCTCTACCAAACTCTTTGGTGCCCTATATCGGATCCCTACCCAACGCATAGCCGCAAAACCTCATCCATTTGTGGGATCCAAGAGCCTTCTCATCTGGCATTTCGCGGAGGACTTGAAGTGCCTGGTCGTTTTTCTTGGTGACACTGGGAAGTGACGTTTGGCCATTTTTCGAAGATGTTTGGAACGAAAACTATGGGATTCCAACTAAAGTCTACAGAGTCTGGAAAAGTTGAATTCCAAGTTCCAGAAGCTCATTGGAATGTTGATGTGGAAAAGAATTCCCAATTTCATTCGTTTCCTTCAAAGAAATGATCACGGCTTTATACTCAAGAACTGATTTTCTTGAAAAATTCTGGTCCAGTTAGGGATAGCGGTCGCCACTGTGGATCATCCTAAGTCATGCTACCTCTTGCATCATTCAGTCGTCATGGATGACCCCTTTTCTTAGTTTAGGTTAACAACCGATGCTGACGACTAGGGACTCATCATTTTGAGAAACCCCAAAGGGTCATAGGTCATCATAGATCATCATGGATATTAACCATTATTGTCAGTTATCACCCATTATTGTCAGTTATTAACCATTATCTCAATGACAATATTAACATATATTAACATATATTAACCATATTAATCATAAATAATCATAGATTAACCATGATGAATTTGTGGATTCTCCATGACTTGAGGAACCCCCCCATTTTCTCAAGGCACCTCGCGCCACTTGGCATGCCGCAGCATCGCCGTAATCGTGGCATGGCGTTGCGCCAGCGCCATGGCTGATCCGCCATGGCGCTCGGGAGAACTCCAGGGGTGGTTTCAGCCATGGGAACTTCAAGCGCCGGTGATGGGAAATCCCTGGTGGTTGATGATTGAAAGTTGGGATGTCATAGGAATTTGAAGCCTAACCATCATAAAACTCTAGGTTCGACCAACAATAATGGATGGGATTTGATGGCAGTGGATGGTGAGAGGTGGTAAAGTGGCTGGTAAATGTGGATGTGATAGTTAGATATAGTTGGTTGGTCGTGGAAAATAAACCAAAGACAACCCTGCGCATACCGCCACAGAAGACTCGCAACAACAATTTAGATCTTGATGTGCTCACTAACAATCGGTGAGGTCTGGGTTCCAAGACTGTCGTTCCTACGTGGGAGACAACTGAGATAACCAGAAAGAATCGAGTATGGCAATGATGCATACATGACCACCAGCAAACCACTCATTTCGCTGGAAGTATGGGCCATGGTTTCCGATAATCTGAGCCATCGGAGACCTAGTCACAATAGCGACACGGTGAACCTCCAAAATGGAAGCAAAACAGGTTGGGACATTCACCAGTATACCAGATTTGTTGCATCTGACACCCCCTGAAAACAAACATTATCGTGGTTGCCCACCAGCAATCTATAAAGTTTCCTCAAACACCTGTAGTTCCACCCTCAGCGACACGGGACTTTAGTTCATCATGAACGGTGAATGGCCTTTGCCTTTTAGTAGAAGATTTTCATGATTTGGGTGGGATCCCCCTAATTAATTAAGCAGGATTTATGATTCCAGGGCTGACATGTTTTTTGATTTTCTCTCTTCGGATTCGTCACAATGAATGTTATACTACGCTACACAAACCACTGGAATGGTGTTGTCACTTGCTAACATAGTGACATAGAGGGTACCGTGTAGATACTGTATTCCCCCCAACCCAAGCTGACGATTCTGGCGGGCTTTCAACCATCCCCAAAATGACCATCAATGGGTTGTATAAACCGTCCCCTAAATGGTAAGTTTATGATCACGTTTATCACATTATCATGTTTATCCATGCAAAAAAAAATGCAACTTGGTAATGATAATGTGGTAAACCATGATAACCGATATTTTCCATGGAAAAACAATAGCATTTCATCACTGCCCCCGTCCTTGGTCTCGGGTTTGATCATCCTGAGCACCAAGGACCGGAAACCAGGCCATGCCAAGGTCGTCTCAAAGCGTGGGAATGAAGCCTACAAGACTACGACACCAGATATTAGAATCCACCTAGTGGCTTCTATAAATTATACATGAAATCAGATATTTGATCACCCATCTGATATTGATGCCAACAACTTATCAATCAGACATTGCATCACCGCCCCTGTCGCCAAATTGTCGGCCCTAGCCACGGAGTGTTGCTCAAGATGTGCGCAAGCGCTTCCGAGTACTGCCTGGGTCCATGGGTCAGCTCAAATCCAGGCCGGAGCTAGAACAACATACGTCATCATTCATCATGCGTCTATGCATATACATATACATATACATATGCATATACATATACATATACATATACATATACGTTTACATAAGATGGTAATAATATATTATAGCATATAAGATTCGATTAGACTACCTATGCGTGATCGCCTTCCTAACCATAGAAATCCACAGAATACACTCCATGAGGTCAATCAGTGAGGTCGAAATAGCCACTTCTATCCTTCAGAGTTTCCGACATACATGACTATAAATGATGATTACTGTAAATGACTATAAATTGTAGATCGGGGTTTCCTAAATTCTGGGTAGCCCAAATCATCCAAGTTACTGACCATTTTAGTATTGAAAGCCATGGTGACTTGGGGTACCCCCACTTTAGGAAACCCCCAAATATCTGTTGTGTCATGTCTATATTAAATGACAAAAAAATATCATAAATGACTGCAATATCATCGTAAATTACTATCAACATCTAAAAACTATACCCTCTGTATACCCTCTGGTAATTTAACATAGCTATTGAAAATGGCCATTTATAGTGAGTTTTCCCATTAAAAATGGTGATTTTCCATAGTTATATTAGTTTACCATTCTAAATGTACACAAAGAGCGCCTCAACCCCTGCCCTAGTGCCTTTGGCTCTGTTGCACCACCGACGGGGATTTCTGCAACGAGTTGGAGGGCGAGGGTGGCTGGTGCACCCTGAGGCCGGCGGCCAAGGCTACACCAGAGATATCCTGAAAGTTCGGGTGTATAATAGCTGGTTGGTGGTATACCTACCCCTCTGAAAAATATGAGTTCGTCAGTTGGGATGATTATTCCCAATATATGGAAAAATAAAAGTCATGTTCCAAACCACCAACCAGCTATAGTCTTTAGGAACCCCCCAAAAGATAGAAAACTCGTTTACCAGGTTCAATTCATCACCGCTTTAGTGGGTTTTTATCAACGTCCATCTTCTTGAAGTTCACTGTCATTGTATCGGATTTAGTGATTGTAAGTATGATTCAGTGGTTTTGCAAGCCAACTTATGACTAATGTGGTAAACCGAATGCCACAAACCATCCCCAATTGTTTTTGTCATTCCCTGTACTCTGATTTGGGATGATTAAAAATGACCAAAAAAGTTGATATATAATCGGTGATGATTTATGATTGGGCTTACCACATTCTGGATTCTATACCATTGGCAATGATGGCCTGAAAAACATCATCAAATGAAAGTCAATGGAATTACAATTTGTTGGGATGAATATAGAACCATGTCTTAAACCGATGATATTTCAATCCGCTATTGCCTAAAATCACCATGCATATCACCAACTGCATGCATATGGGTCATCCAGAATCGCAAAAATCACAAAAAAAACATACAAAAAAACGGATGTGTCAATACTGAGTCAATGCAAATTTGGCTAGGTTTTCACATCAAAATGAAAAATATGTTTTTCAATAGTTTTGGGATGTGAAATCCAGCTGGCCGAGGGTTTTGGTCATTCCCACAAAGGCGTTCATGCCCCGTTGAATCCATTCGATACTTCGACAGTAAAAACAAACCTCTAAACAGATCCCAACGCTGCAAATCCTGGAAACTCTTAGGCAAAAATGATCAGATCATGAATTTTCAATGTTCCACCAAACTCTTTCTATCCGCTGCCCAAGATCCAGCCAGGAGACGTTCGGAGTCCAGCGTTCCCCTCGTCAGCCTCAGGATTCATGGAGGGAACCCCACAACTTCCAGCTGGTTCAGCTCCAGTCATCTCAGGGGACCCCAAGAAAACAAGGGAAGTTCAAATACAAACTGCAAAGAAAGAACGTCAAGGGTCCAACGTGGTTTATATAGAGGTCTAGTGTTTCTGAAAGAGGAAATGCGAGGGGAAAAAAATAGGCATGAAAACGACGTGAAGATTCAAGCACGTCAAGCTCTATAAGCCAATAGATTTTTAAAAATAATCACCACCACCACGACCACCACCACCACCACCACCATCATCATCATCATCATCTCAAATACCCCCACCCAGTCATGGAAGGCATTTCAGGTGGGATGGGATTGATAACAGTTAAACAGACTAAGACTTCCCAACCTCTCCAAAGCATTGAATCCATCAAACATCATGAAATCACCATTAAGTCACCATAAATCACCATCAAATCACCATTAAGTCATTATAAATTACCATTGGATCACCATTAGATCACTATTAGATCACTATAGATTACCATTAAATCACCATCAAGTCATTATAAATTACCATTGGATCACCATTAGATCACCATTATTCATTCCTTAAACCCCCCATTTTACATATTTTAACGCCCCCCTTTCCAACCCGTCCAGCCACTTAAAACTGGGGACCCCCACCCTCTTCCGCAAGGAAGGAGACATCGGTGGTGGAGGAGCACCTCGAGCGGCGGTGATTCCGTGAAAATCATGATCCCATGGGATCACATTGGGATCTGTAAATTGTATAGCTATAAATATTTATGTGCATTTGGGATTGTAATCTATTAATCATATAAATATATTTGGGATGCTAATTTATAGCTGTAATATATCTATATATATATATATACTTCGGATAGTATTTGGGATTGTAATCTATTAATTGGGATTGTAATAGGTATATCGTATCTGATATCAAATATATATATATAATTGGGATTGTAATCTATTAAGCATTATATATAGATATGTAAAAGGATTTGAAATGGTACCTGGTTATCATATACTACATATATATATTATGTATACAATAGATATATGGTATCTGATTATATACCATTACAACAATAGATGTATTGGGATTGTAATTTGGACGACTATAGGTATTATTGGGATGTGTAATAATATATATATATACAGAATTATGGGCTTTGTGTACAGATACATATATTATATGTGTGACCAAATCTGTCCATATTTCCAATATTGTACTCATCGATATGTTGAAAGATGTATATAGGTGTGCGATGGTTAACTATATGGATAAACAATAATAATGATTACTGGTGGCTAGGTACATACTATGTACATATACAAAGATACATTTACATATACAGTATACATACATTTATATATATATATATATACATACAATATACCAGCAAAAACGTCAGGTACCAAGATTGAGGAAAGAATTAGGCCATGATATCTTTCAAGTTATATCACAACAGTTCATTAAACCCGAAGAGATGTTGGAGTATGTGCCACTTTATTAACCATTGTCGTGAGGTCATTGTGAAGTCATGAATCATGGTTGGATATATGGATAAAATTGGATAGAACGAAGCAAGGTACCAAAAGAGATAGGATCTATAGCATAACAATTGCGAATGTAGACCCAACCAACTGTGCGATACAAATCATTTTGGTTCGATGTGAACAAGATCTCATGGGAATAAACGGTTGTGATTGATGATTCAGCAAATTTAAGCTCCGAATGTAGCCATTTCTGCGGTTGGGCATGAATATTCTGAAACATCGTCTCCCTGGAAACCAACTGAAAGTCGGATGAACTTGCAATATGTTTCAAAGTTGTTGCAACTCACCCAATTTTCCCAAATCATCAAACGCTGGGTATTCTTTGAATTAGATCTCTAAATCTGGCTGGGTTTTGTCTTCAAATTAAGTACTCTGGGCACGTGGTGACTCTCCATTTGATCTACAGTAAAAATTGGGACCGCTGAGGGGGTTCGAGCTGCTCCACATCTTAAAAGCAATGTCTATGTTTGGAGTGGGAAATGAAGTGTGGTAAACACCCAGATGCATGTATTGACTTCATTGATCGTGTGGACTATCATCTCACTGACAGTCAATCACAGCACAGTTTGCCATTACCAAACTTCAGGGATCCGAGAACAATCCAAATGTCGGAATTGATGAAGTGAAGTGCCCAGATGGATTGTTGGAGATTGTCGGGTCCCCCCAAAATTACCAGGTCAGAAAACCATGTGGGCATGGGTCAGAAATCCTCGAATTGGATGAAGGAAATTTTAAGAGCAAAAGCCAATATTTGAGCTAAGTCTCGGAGCCTTAGGATTTTTTCGGCACAGGTTCGAAAATTTAAGGCAATCAATCCAGTGCGCGGTCTGGGCACAAGTCACAAATGACTACAATTTTAGAATCAGACATCTAAGAATCTAAGTTATTTTGTGAGGGAAATCTAAGCCATGTTTGACTTGGAGGATGATTGGGATCATCCCACTGAAATATCGTAAACGGCTGGTTAGTTAGTGACCCTGGTGATCGGGTTCGTCCCCTATCTTACAGTGGCTTGTCCCAGTGGGTGTTCCTGACCATAGGGATAATGGTAACCATATGTAACCATATATGGAGATCATCTTAACCATTAATTGGTTACCAGGTTGTGCCCGGCCCGCGCCGTGGCGGAAGTTTAGTGCGGACTCGACCACACAAATCCGGGGTTGCTCCGATCCCTTCAGTTTTCTGTTTTTTTTTGTGAAACCGAGCTCTTGCTACAGTCTCCTGCACATTTTTCCGACCTCATCTTCCAAAGGTGCTCCAAAAGTGGCAGTTTCTCAACATGTTCAAGTCAAATCGAGCTCTCGCTACAGTCCCGTGCGCTTTTTGTCAACAACTTTCCCAGATCAATGCCTGCACTCGTGGAAACGGAGACCCTACTTCGGCGACCCCAGGAGCCACATTACCCGGAAAAACACAGGGTTTCGCGCCCGAGAGTGTTTTCACCTGTGAATTCACATGCTTCCGAACTGTTGCACTTCCCAACTACTTGATGATGCGTGGTTGGCATGATGATGTGGTTGACATAATGATGTGCTTGACATGATGGTGTGAATGCTAACAATGACCATTGTCCGCAACTCGGAAGTTTTCCAACTAAACTTCCTCTGATCACTATGATAACCATAAATCTGGGCAAATTATCATATTTCACTAGCCTGAAACGTTCGTCCATTTTGGATTCCCCGAATCCAGTTCCTACGATTCCAGTGAGGTCACGTGAAGGCCATAATTATCATAGTTTCCCCAGCTAGATATTATAGCTAGATATTATAGATAGCCTCTGGTAAACTAACAGCAAATGCTATGGAACATCACCCTTTTTCATGGGTAAATCCCATTCTTGATGGGTAAATCCCATTTTTGATGGGTAAATCCCATTTTTGATGGGTAAATCCCATTTTTGATGGGTAAATCCCATTTTTGATGGGTAAATCCCATTTTTGATGGGTAAATCAACTATAAACTCTGGGAAACTAACAACGAAATGGGCCATTTCCCACCCAACAGATGATCCCATCTGCACCAATTGGTTCTGGAACTGGAACTGCACCTGCACGGCGAAAAAAGGGGAGCTTTGGATGGTCAAAAAAAAAGGAGATTTGTATGTATGTGTATGTGTATTTATATATATAGAGAGAGAGAGATATAGATATAGATATATATTATAGATATAGATATAGATTATATGATATTGTATTATATTATAGTATATTATAGTATATTATAGTATATTATAGTATATTATAGTATATTATAGTATATTATAGTATATTATAGTATATGATAATATATTATAGTATAGTATAGTATAATTACACAATATTATATTATAGTATAGCATATTACATTATGTTATGTTATGTTACATTATGTTACGTTACATTATGTTATGTTATGTTACATTATGTTATGCTATGTTATATCATATTATATTATATTACACTTTTTTACCGTATATATATATATGCAGGTTAGACACCTTTGTCATCACCTATGGCGAGGTCTGACTGTGTCGCTCAAAAAAAATGCCAAATGGTGGATCTTTTGGCCGTCAAAACGCCCTTTTTTTCTGGAGCTGATCTTTTCTCCATTTCTTTCCAACTTCAGTAAAATATTAAAACATCATATCCAAACCTATCATGGATGGCCTGAAAGTCCAAACCTATCTATGGGTCATTTCAGCTCTACCCTCTTTGAGGCCCTCAACTACTTATTTGCCATATCAGCGAGATCCCAAGAATCTGCCCGTGGTCCAGGATTTACCATCCATTTTAATGGGCTTTGTCTGAAAATAGTACCCTCTGGTAAACTAACGTAACTATGGAAAATCACCATTTTTATATAATGGGAAAATCCACTATAAATTGCCATTTTCAATAGCTATGTTAAATTACCAGATGGTAATCCCCAAAATCCAGTGGTTGATTTCAATGTTCCAAGATCTCAAGATCTGCAAATTTTGGGGTCTGACCCATTTTTAAAAAACACTGCCATCTGTCGCAAAGATTATTGATTTTAAACCACTGGATATCCCCGTCGTTGTTAGTTTATATGCGGCATAACACATCACCATTATATCAGCATAAATTGGCTATGTATATATATATATATCAGTAATATCCATATCCAAAAAAAATGTTTACTGTGTACATCAGCTTTCAAATCACCATTGTTCCCCAATTGTTGCTGGTTGAACCCAGTTTTGTTGGATGATATCCCACATTGCCAACCATCTGCAAACCAGCTCTCATTTCCTTGGCAAAAACTGATTTTGTTCTATCCTTTCCAAATCCCTACCATCTTCCCATTATGCTTAGCTACAAAAACAACCACAATGTAACCAAACATGGCACTCGAAAATCCAGCTTCAACAAGCAGCTTCAAACAGCCAGCCATAGCTGGGGGAAATCATCCATCAATGGTTGGCATTTTCAAGCCGGCCGTGTTTCATGGTACAACAGCTCCCCAGCCACCCTGGTAGCGCTCATCACTTTCACGAGGATGAACCTGGTCGAAACCAGGGCGGTTTTAAGCTAAAACCCCTAAGGGGCACTGGGAAATCCATCATTTGTACTGTTGTTAAAGCAAGGTCATAAACTACCCATATGGATTGATGGTTTAGACCACACAAAAATGGTCAAATTGGAAATGATTGACGATTGCTTCTCCAACACAAGATATGTGTCCGATTGACAATAGACAATAGGCTAGTAGGCATTGAGCGTGGCCATCTTTGTTTACCCACCGTTACTGTAGCTTGGTCAAGAGATGGAGGCAAATCAAAGACCCAGCCGAAGGCCAATTCCCTGTGATGGCTAGATGCTGCAGGATGGATGGAAAAACTTGGATGGTGAGTTTCTGTAGTGGCAGTAATCGCCATCTTCTTTAACCTGTTTGTGGATGCAAACTGCGATCACAAACCCATTGCTCAATATCGTATCCATACGTCTACTTCAGCAGGTCGTGTCCATCAGCTACTAACGAATAATGCAGCACAGTTATTCAAGAGATTGCAGATCGAACCTAGCACAACTCTTGCTATATGGGCAGCATGAAAACCTATCTTTTCATCTCACAGGTCCACTCTATGGGACTCTATGGTCATCCCACACTGCACAAGTGACATTGGCTGACTTACGCCATGACCCTAGTCACGCAGAAACTTCAACCCGGCACTTTTCTCCGGCGGTTCCAGCGGGTGCACCCACATTGGTCACAGACCCCGCTGGGTTATCTTCTCCGCCACCCCGCCGGTGCTCCGTTGGCCACCGGGGCCGGCACCGGTGCGGGGGGCGGAGTGGCCGCCGGCGCCGGCACGGGCGCCGCAACACGTGCAGCAGGGGCCGGCTGTGGCACCGGTGGCGCAGGTGGTGATGAGACCACAGGTGGTGGTGGGGAGACCACCGGTGCACCTTGCGGCGCAGGTGTAGGGGCAGCAACTTGTCCCATCTGCGGCAAACCAAGGCGTGCTGCGGCATCCTGATTTTCCAGCGCTTGCAGCTCCGTGTCGATCAGCATGGAGATGTGCTTAAGATCCGCCAAGCCTTCACGAGTGGCAGCTTCAACCAGTGGAGCTGCGTGGGTCAGCAAGGTACGCGCCTGTGCTGTTTGTGGGCATACGAAAACAGGGATAATTCTGAACTTGGAGTAAAAGTATGATGAAATGATAAACATATATATATATATATTCATACATATAGCTCTGTGGAAAAGTCATGTGTGACCATCTTCAGCAGGGATGAAAGTAAGAAGTTAGGGATGAAACCCCAACTTTGAGGGGTTTGGTTTCAGTCTCACAACTCTGTGACTATATGCGCTCCACTTGAAAAATGACCTTCCACCTTGTATGTAGGGTTACAATCAGGTGACCGTAGATATCGCCCGGCCCAGCATCATCCCAAAGATATCCTCGGTAGATGTACAAAAAAATGTAGACACCCCCCATGATCCGTTTGTAAAAATATGTATGTGTATATATATATATATATGTATGTATTGCTACTAACATATGTATTATACATATATATATATAATTTCATCATGTTTGGAGATCAACTATGGATCTTCGCCATTGGGTCCATACATTCCCTAGCCAATTTGCAAACGAAAAAAACAACACACCCCTGAGAGCCAAGATTGGATGGTTGTCAGGTATGGATCCGTAGATCCAAAATCTGAAAACCACCATTTTGTTACCACTTATCCCTGAAGTCATTCAATAAACATCTAGTTGGGTCAAGGCGATCACTCCGTAGAACCTGAATAGGCATATAACCGAGTTCTATCCTCTCATCATCCATTTGGAAAAAATTAAAATCTGGATGTTGTAAAGTTTGAAGCACCTCATCTCCAAAAGATGGAAAATCAAAGATATGTTCCAATATGTTCCATATGTGGCCAATAGTGTCAGGTACCGGGTACCGAAAAAAAGTCCAATGGTCCATCATCTTTTCACACAGCCACACTGAATAATATCAAGAACTAATAAGATGGAGAGCCCTATCATGTCCCAAATAGCGGGTGAACAGTCCCGAAAAAACTCAATCGTACATGTATTCACCCCATTTTTTTGTCACATTAACACAACATTAACTCGTTAGCACACATTAATACTCGATTATATAATGTTTTGGAGATTCACCACGGTCACTTATCACAAACCCATATGGCAGTGGGAAATCTCTAAGTTCGAGAGCTAAATCCAGCTACAAAGCAGGTGTATGAAGCCAAGTTGGAGATGCAAAAGTAAAGCCTTTTTTTGGATTCCAAACATATTCTGTGTAGATACATATAATATGCATATAAGTATATACACATATACATGAGTATATACCCATCATCAAACAAATTCCAAGTCAACAAACAATAACAAGAAAATCGCCGAGATGTTTGACTTAAGAATGGTACCCTCTGGTAAACTAACATAACTATGGAAAATCGCCATTTTTAATAGGTAAACCATCTATAAATGGCCCATTTTCCATGGCTATGTTAAATAACCAGAGGGTAATATGTTTATTTAATCGCCGAGTCTCCGTCTGTCGCCGCTGCGCCGCCGCCTGCTGCATGTCCGCCGTACCACCGGCGGAGCTGCAGAGCACCAGGGCACGCGCCATGCGCTCGTAGAGCACACCGCAGTTGCCGTCCTGATCCAACGAATTGCCGTCCTGAGATGTTCATGTTATAAAAAAAACTGCATGAAAATGTGTTAGAAATGTTCATCTATATATATATATATGTATACTGTACATATATATATATATATTATACATATATTATACATATATGGATATAGGTGTGAATTTTCCCCAGATACATCTACATCTGGAGTTGAATCCAAGTTGGTAGATGGTTCATAACAATGGTTAACTCACATCTACATGGGATGTTTTACTGGAAGCACATCCAGGTTGCTTGGAAACGGACTGAGGTTATCAAAAAACTATTCAACTCATAGATTCACCATCCACCAAATCATAATCCCCTAAATCTCCTAGTCCCCCAAAACCCCACCAAAACAGTAAGGAAAACAGTAACAATACATCATTTTTCCAATCATCCACCCAACAATATGTGCCAATACATCATTTTTACATATTTTTGAATATTTATATATATATATTCATCATTTACCCTCTGGTAATTTAACACAGCTATTGAAAATGGCCCATTTATAGTTGATTTACCTATTAAAACTGTTGATTTCCACAACTATGTTAGTTTACCAGAGGGTATCTACATCTTTACTTTCGGTCAACCGCTAGAAACCGTCCCCAGTGGTTTCAGCAACCATAACTAACGGCTTCACGGCTTCGCACCTGATCCAGGCCGCGGTAGCGCATGTTCCGCACCGCTGCCTGGATGGGCATCTCCAAGCGCGCCAGCTCCGCGACGTCCACCTGTTTTTAGCGAATAGATGGATGTCATGGGATGTCATGGGATACCAAAACCTGAAAATATATATGCTACAATGTGGGGCCCCCGGTTTCGATAGCTAAGTTGGTGAACGTAAGTCCAATAACTATTTTGTTTATTTTACGCTTAAATAACTATGGTTAATGGGGTTTATAAACCAACTTATAACTGGGAGGCACCACATTGTATAATATATAAATAGTAATTATAACCTGGATGTTAATATAGAAATATCAAGCTATAATATGGGATACGAAAATATATAGTTATATCCATGTTATATCCATGTTTACAAAATACTAGATAATATGAAAAATGTGGATAAAAACAATGTCATAAACCAGCCATTTGGGAATGGTAAACATACCACCGTTTATGGTGACATTGGGGATGGTTTATGATTGTTTTACCAACATTAATAAGGAAATATGGATAAATATGGTGGTTTACTATACTTATATATATATGACTATAACTATACTTAGTAACCTCCATAGTAGGTTGCTATACTTGTATAATCACATGTATAATACTTGGTGGCTCATCACACGAATCCTAAGTAGGTTAGTTCACCCTGGTTTTGTTACTAAACTAAATTAAATACCTTCTGGTAAATTAACAGTTCGACCCTGAAAATGTCACACATTTTTAGTGGAAACTCATCTTCCAACCCCTATCTGCCAGGGTATATGTTAATCTACTGGAGAGTAATGTGAAGAATATGGAATAGTCCGTGCGATAATAATCATTATGATCCTAAAATTGTTTGATGGGAACAATTAATGGGATACAGTAGATGTTCACTTACTGCATTATGACCCTCGCTGTAGATATATCTAAAACATAGAATTCACCTACGGTGTCTTCATAACCACTACCTTGGTAATGACAAACAGTTTTGCCATACAACCAGCATTTGGAGTAGGTATATTAATCGTCTACGGGATGTTTTTCATAGCCATATGAAACTACCAGAGAGTAAGGATGTAAAGGTAATTGGTTGTTACATTGGAAAGTATCCCCAGTTCTTTGTGAATGCAAAAATTAGCACACAAAGAATTCGAGTTATTAAACTTATAAAACCAACGGAAAAAATGGAGATGATCCAAACTCATATGGATGCAGGGTGATCGTTTGAACCAATGATATGTGGATGGCCAAAAACCTATCCGGAGCTGAAGATGGGACGGGGCTGTGAAGGGAGCCAACAGATCATTACTAGTTCTTCAAAAATTGGAAATGACCAAACAGGCAAAAAAAAGGAAGATACTTCGCTGGCTTGACTGACTTTAATCTGACTTTAATCAGCATAGCTCCTTCGCCACACCGGCCTCTTTGATTTCCATTTCCGTTGGGATTCTTAGAACCCAGATATTCCCACATCACCACTTGCTAGCCAGTTCAACATAAGTTGATCCGCTGAAACATTCCATGAATACCTCCCATTATCCCCATTATCAATCATTGTAATCCCTCTCTTCATGATTAAATTTTACTTGGAGGATCATTAAGTAGAAATAAATATGAATCTCCCATATATTTATCCCATTCATACTGATATCCCATCCCATCCCATCAATATCCCATTCCGTTCTTCACCAGCCTCGGTGATGGCTAACTGTGAACTGCTTTCCATTACTGTTTCCAGTACTGTTAGCTGGTTTCCATTCCACCAATCTTTGACTTTATAGATAATAACCAACACCATCACTGTTTCCATTTCACCAACCTGTGCCATTCAATTCTGACGCACCTCTTTGGTAATGGGTATCTCCTCCAGTGCAATTCCCAGCAGCTCAAAGAGAGGCGTGGGATGCACTGCGTCCTGCAAGGCAATCACCGTGAAGGCCTCGATGAGATTGTCCAGGCCTACGGGACGTCGCGACGTTGGGGGGCGAGCATCGAAAGCATCGAAAAACTGGGATAGCCTGCAAGATAGTATGTTTTTTGGACACAAATAGAAGTATGGGACTCAGTGACTCAACTATAGATGTTATTTCTACCCAAAGATCATGATAATCAAAGGATTGGTTCAAGGAAAAGTCGCCGAAATGCGGATTTCATCATCAAACATGACGGGTTTCACCAAGACACCAGGGATTTTTCCACTGGGCCACTGTGTTGGTGTCCGATGTGAAGGTCCCAGCTGATGGAAACAGCCAAGGTCGGATCTTCATCCAACATGAAGCATGTTGGATGTGTTCAAAAATGATGGAAATTACCTTACCACCCCCCCCTTAATATCACCATTTCATCGGAAACTTGATGATCAACACGGATTCAACTCGCCTTCTTGATGACGCCCCGCATGTACCAGTGCCCGGCTCAAGCCTCGGCAGTACCCCTCTCAAACCTGGAGAGGTAGGGAAAAGATAGCTTCCAAAAGAGATTTCTTCGGAGTTCCAGGTCTTTGTTTTTCGATGTCTAAAGATTCCAAGTATTGACCTCGGCTTTCCAATGCTTCCTCCTAGGATTTGGAAAGTGTTGGAAGATTTGGGGTAGAGGGTAGGATGTTGCCATGTTTCAGCTGGCAATTTCTGGGATGATGAACCCAGCAATCACCATTTATGGGGTTTGGTCGGCCAGGAACTTTCCTGAGAATTCGGTAAATGTCTCTATCTAGCTGTTTATCTATCTACCTATCTATCCATCCATCTAGCTATCTAGCTATCTAGCTATCTAGCTATCTAGCTAACTACAGTAGTATCTAGATATCTAGATATCTAGCTATCTGGCTGTCTGGCTGTCTGGCTGTCTTTCGATCTATCTATCTACCGCTCCATCTCATCTCATCTCATCTCAAATATTTTTTTTGTGTATCTATAGTCTATATACATATCTGTGTACCTCATGTCATTTCTGCACATGAAAAAAAAACACATCCACAGCTGCCACGAAAATCCCTCAACCAGCACTACTTCAACCAGCTGACGCTCACAGGCACTGCCGTACAGCGGACTCTCAGTCCCAATACTGCGGTCGTAGAGGTCCTTGGCTTTCTGCAACACGCCCACGGCTTCGTCGTGCCTGGGGAATCCACGGGAACCCATTTGATGATCCGGCTGGGACCAGAAGTAGCAACCAGAAGTAGCCTTTGATGATGATTTAATGGGATTAACATACCATATATGTGTAAAAAAAATAGAAATGTCAAATATGTTCTCTGGTAATGACGAACCCTTTGATATGAAAATATCATCTTTCTTTATAGCTAAATCATCCAACTAAGTGGATCATCTAAACCATGGGATCGCCAAGCACTTCCCCGAAAATGGTTTGTGTAAACCATGGAAAAATTCAGTACCACACTATTGTAGTATATAAAGGACCAAAGATTTGGATGAATTCTTTCTCGTGTCGGGACATAACATGCCTCCAACCCTGTGGCTTTGCGTACTGGTGGAATCCAATTGAAGTGATGGCAAGTGGTTCAGCCAATGGCTTACGAGCGCTTACGACTGGAACATAATGGTGCTGCGTTGGGAAAAGCTGCTATAAACATCAAATTGTAGTCAAATGGTGCCACATCTAATTGTAGTCAAGTGTTGATTAAAAAACGAACCTGGACATTGCTTACCCAATCTTTAAACACACTCACACTGTGAGTCTTTCACGCTCGCCTCCAAATCATTCAACCATGAAACCTTGCACGTGTTTGCATCCTTCCACATAGATTGTGTGTTCATTTCTGTGCCCTGGTCAAGGTACACAGTGAAACAGGTGAAACAGTTTATGATCATCCCACACCCTGAAATTGGGAATCCTGATATTGGCCATTTATAATTCCGCATGAATGGTGGCATGACCATCCCCACATGAGGAAATAGAATCCAAGATATTGACCACGACAGTTGTGGGTGCTTTGAAGAATGGGGAATCTGCAGAATCCCCAATATCCACCATGTCATGGTCTATCTTAGGAGCTGGAAAACGAGGAACAATCTTGGTTCGGTTATTCCACATGTTTGGATTTGCACTTTGAGATTACCATTATCATGTTGATTGCCCATGTTGCACATTTAAGCTATTGTGAGTTATATGGTTATATGGTGTTTCTTATAACCTCCATTGAACCAGTGTTGGTGGATATTCCCCTTTTGGACAACATCCTATTATATGCTGGTCTCATTCTTGATTTCATCCATTTTGGCACATGATATCCCTTTATAAAATCCCTAATTTATGGAATATACGATATTCGTACAGTAGTACATATGCATACCCTCTGGTAAACTAACATAGCTATTGAAAATGGCCATTTATAGTGGATTTTCCTATTGAAAAATGGTGATTTTCCATAGTTATGTTAGTTTACCAGAGGGTAAATATTCTGTGTGAAAATCTAAATCCATTCGTATCCTGTAGACGATTGGAGATCTCTCGTTGGTGGATTCCATCCCCCAGAAGAAGATCTTCGCCATTGGGGATCATCCCATTTCTATGGTTGAAGATAGAAAAAAATCATTGAAACCGCCAACCAGTTATATATATATGTGATATATATATATATTATGATATATATATATATTATGATATATATATATATATTATGATATATATATATATATGTATATATATATATGTTTATATATATATATGTATATATGTATATATGTTTAGGTATATATATATATACATATATGTTCAGTATGTTTTAAATCTATGTAGCCTTGTACTTAGTATCTATCCACGTTCTATCCTTTACTTCAACATTCCGCCTCCGGACGGACCCCGGCCTGCCCATCTCATCGTAGCAGCTCCCCACTGAATCATAGAGCTTGGCTAAGGCCACATCATCCTGGACCAATGGACCATCGCAGTTTATTCCAATTATCAATGCTACCACCTGGCTGATAGTTTATTATATGATATTATATGATTATATAGCGTTTTTTCGCATTCGCTATCTGTCCAGGACGACTTTCCCGGGATTGCTATGCCCCATCCATATGTCATCTGTGCAATCTAACCCTTGATCGGAAAAAAGAAAAGACCGGCGCCCTGCAGAAAGGTGCCCCTTAGAAAGTCAAATTGGTTGACAACTAGGTTAACTGGGGTTTTGTGGCAGATCTATCTGTAGTCACATGGGGTTGACAACCAATTCTCTTCCTGTGCCACCTGTCAAACCGCTCCTCCGGATCCTCTTCCAACCACTTTTCTAAAGCCTGCAGCTGAAAAAATCGTCTTCGAAACCCCCAAAAAAATGGTGGCACGTCTTTGGAGATGGACATTTTGGGGAGTTCAGGTTCGTTTTGGTGGGACCATCAACTACAGTGGGCCTTTGGACTCAGTGAACCCAACTTCCGCCTGGTCCAGCATCGGCGCTGCTTCGTCGTAGTTTTTCTTGTTTTTGTGCACTAAACCAATGTTCCAAAGGTCCTGGTTCCGGTGCTCCGAGAAACTCCAATGGAAACATCAAATCATAGCCTCAATGCCTAATGGAGATGCCAAACACCAACTATCACTGCACAAAAAGCATGCAAAACAGGCTGTCCTGAATCATTTTCCCCTGCAGACCTAGTGTTTGAATCAAGTTCATTTTTTGCTGCCACAAAACCGAAGGCATACTTTTGATGGTCGCCCCACATTCCTGAGAATCTCATGTCTCATCATTGTCAAACAGTATTAACATCGATTCTGATGGGAAAAAGCTAAATGTGAATAGTATGAAGCCACTGATGATGTCAGCAACCCTTCCTACTATAGGCCCCTCGTTTCCCCAGTGCCGGGAACTACCTGATGCTAACTTTCCTGGATTTTCCCTCTTAAAATAGCTGGGTCACTGGGGATATACTTCCCATTTTCAGAGACACCCTTAAATATCCCATTCTTGCTTACAAACCCCATTATATCCCCATGACATTCTAAACATCTCCCATTCACTGGGTAAATCACCTTTACCTCACAGTTTTATCACTATAAAGTATCCCAATATATATATATATATATTCCCCAAAAAATGTGTGTATATAATATCCTATATATAATATACAATTATAACCAATTATATCTATAATGTGTGTGCCATTTCCTCCTTTCTAAACCCATTATATCATACTATATCCCCATACCCATCTTTCAATCTTTTCAATCCAGTTCTTTTCGCAAAATGGCCAGCTGGCTGGTCCTCTTTGTCCAAGATCAGCTGGCCATTTGCATCGCGTTCGCCCACCAGCTCCGCTGCCGCGTCGAAGTAGACCTTCGCCTTGTCGTGGTCGCGCAGCTGGTTGTACACCGTGCCCAAATTCCTGGGTCCGCCCCATCCCCCCTTTTTTGGCCCTGGGCGAACCGGGTAAACATACGAAAGCTGTGGAAAAGCCATGGTTTTTCCCTAGGAAAATCAACTTCAAATAGATCCAATACCAGACCACGGATTCTGAAGGCTGTTTGACATCAGGGTAATGCGATTATTCAAACTCTGCGTCATCCCTTTTACTGGTTCGTTGATCGGAGTTTCCACAATGGATCATAATAAGCCCCGTTAAAACCAGAAACCAGGTAGTATACCCCCCCATGATATCCAGTCAAGAAGCATTTTGGTCACTGCTAAACTGAGATGTTTTGCACAAAAACATATCGATCCATCTATGGTTCTCTGAATCCTTAAGCGTTGCTTGTTATTGAAAGGCTCATTGACTCTCAAAAATTCCCAGTTCTCATAGCTTAATCCCTCAATTTCCCCAATAGGTTCTCCAATTTTCATATCAAGAGGATGTTCGGTCTCGCCTGAGGGTGGCCTCATGAGGGGGCGTCAACTTTGCGACTTCCTCCAGCATGGGCGCGGCCTGGCAAAAAATCGTCACCAGAACAGTGAGAACATTCTACCCTCTGGTAATTGAACATAACTATTGAAAATCACCATGTTCAATGGGTAAATCAACTATTTCTATGACCATTTTCAATAGTTATGTTCGTTTACCAGAGGGTACCCAAAAAGTTACGACCATCATTTGAGAATGTTCCCATTGAAATTGCCATTTTCCATTGGACGAAGATACGCTACTTGGATGCAAGGGCCGGTTTATAACCCCCAAAAAGAACTGGCGATATCCCATTAATGGGGGGAGTTCATATGTTAATAAGACACTCCCCAAGCGGGGGGCTAACGAATATCATGGGAACATAACGGGAAGTGGGAATATAATGATATAGTGTTAATGGATATTAATCAATATTAATGAGATAGAACCAACCATATTTGTGATGTACTATGATTTGGATTTGTCTCTGAAAATAGGGATACCCTCAAAATTGCCGTTGCAAGACAGGCAATAGGGATAATGACGATGAATCCGTGGATGTAGGGATCTCCTATTTTTAGACAACCCCATACTGTAATATGCAACAATCTTGAATGGTGATTAAACTGTTTCCCTATATATATATTATACATATACGTATATATATATATTATACATATACGTATATATATATATTATACATATACGTATATATATATATACTACGGGTGATTAAGGGTCGAGTCATAACGCACAAACATTCACGATTCATTAAGGGTCGATTGATGATAATTTCCCCAAGATCAACCATCATTCTGCATGGGATATTGCTGCGGATAGTGGTTACAACACCTTTGGGATGCTCAAGCTACAAGACTTGGCTTGAGATTCCATGTTAATAATATGGTCAACCATACTCAACCATACCCCGAAAAGCAGTTTGTTGTTGGTTTTACCCCATGACATTGGTCCATGATGTGTTGCCTCATGGCTCGGCACTGATCACTGCGGAAAGGCGGATGTGTCGGGGATCTTCTCGCACCAACTGGTCTTGTAATAAACGGGCTACCTCCTGTTGCCAGATTCATCATGTTCTCTACCTATGAATAATCCTTTATGATACTTCTATATGATACTTCTATGTTTACATCTTCTGTCTATTTTGGTGATAGAAACTTCACCTTGGCTTGGCAAATGACATTCTGCCAGACGTGTTGCCCCATGCGGTGGCTTCAGATTCCTTTCCTTACCACGGCCCTGGATCCCCTGGATCCCATGGATCCCATGGATCCCATGGATCCCACATGCCTCAGCTTGTCGATTCTGCTTGCATCGCAGCGTGGCGCAGTCTTGGAACCATTTCCTCGGGACCGTGGCTGTGAAAAGGGCGGGTGAGGCCAAAAGGAAACCTCCGCCTTGGCGTCCAACAGGCATCTGTTTGATGTGAAAGAACGGAAAAAACTCAAATGATTCAAATGATTCAAATGATTCAAATGATTAAGGATGATGTTTGGGGGTAGTCCACAACAGATTCAAATTGTTCATCTCCTAGCACTCCTAGTTAAATGCCAAAGGCGATTCGACCCTTGCCCCATTTGCTTTAGGAAACAGGCAAAGTACAGTTTTACAGTTCCCAGAACAGTGTCGAACCGGCATAGATGTTGTTTTCAAGCATCTCAGACTTGTACAGGTAAATCATTTGAGCGCTTTTACCTGCACCTAGTAACCACCAATCGGCACTTCTTCGCCTCTTGTAGAACCTGTGCCCCTAATATCTTCATACTCAAAAGACACCTTTGGCTTCAACCCTACCCCATCACCCCACAGCACCCCACCGGGCCAAGCCGCACGTTCCACGGCAAGCCCCTAGACAAACACTGCGCCTTGGTCACTTCGTAGAGCGCGTCTGCCTTGTCGAGCGCGTAGTTTTTCCTGAACTCATGTCATGACTTTGGCGTTAACCTGCACAGAAAAAAAACATTAAAAAATCGAATTTAACCTTCAAAACTAAGGATTTTCCGATCAAACATTGGAATTTAGGTCTAACTCCTAGTCCAATTCAATGGAGCATACCCAAAATGTCCCATTCTTAGGGGGAAAATGATGACACATCCTTGACTCAAATCACTGATGTTAGATACTCTGCAAGAGATTTATTGTTTCCTGGGTTTCATATTTCCCCATGAAACTACCCGTCTAAGCTTTCCCCTGAAATGGAATGGCTTTAGATGCCAAAATTACTCATTCACCTGTGTTCCCTATACAATGGGTCTACTTTCTTACCACATCCACACTTTTCGGTTTACCCCTCCGCAATGAAACCTGGCAATGGAAAGCGTTCCATGTTTAGATCATGTTCCTCCCAATTTTGGGGTGGTTGTGTCTCCACTCTTCTTGGTATGAACCCCCATCTCCGCAATTATTCCCTTGAGTATTGAAGAAAATTCGCCAACAAGGTAGGAAAACACAAAAAACATGCCATACCATCTTACCACTTGGGGATCTATAAACCTTTCTATTAATATAAAGAACTGATTTGATTCTGGGAGTTTACCGCCTTGCTACATGGCTATGGTTCAAAGTGGGGGGATCCCCCTGACAATAATTGCCATACATTGGGGTATCCCCCAGGTTGAGAAAACCCGATCGTCTGTCGTTGTCTATACCCCAACCTGGGATGAAGTATATGTATTTTTCCGGTCCCTTCTATAGTTGACAATTGGGGATGGTTTTTATGTCAATTGCGCATCCCACATGATTTCCGTCCTCATTCTCTCTAAATTTGTCTCCGACGACTTTTTATCCGACGACTTTTCATAGTAGAAAAAAATACTCTTGTTCTAGTCATCTCCGACGTTCCTATCCATGGTCAAACCCAAATCTAGGCTTTAAAAGATCCATGAGTGTCTATCAATTTCCAGGATTCCCTTTTACAGAACAGCCCCACATCAAAATCGTCCCGAAAAATATCTCAAAATGTCCAAAAATCAATGTCCCAGTGGCAGATACACCACCGCCAAATCTAAGCCTTTCGCCAAGACCTCCGGGGCTCTGAAGCCCTCGGGGTGCTGGGCCATGAGCCGAGCAAACTTGGCTTCACACTCCTGCGGCTTGGCGTGTTCGAACTTGGCCAATGTTGCATCTCGTTTGGGTTTAATGCTCTTTTGGGGGTTCCTCTGGGTTTTTGAAGCTTTGTTTGTTTTTTTAAAAAAAATTTGAAGGTCTCCCCTCTGGATCCTTTATTGCCTCTTGCGTTTTTAAGGTCCTAAGACGTCCTAAGACGTCCTAAGACTTCTGTTGTGTTTTCTATCAGTCTTTAAACGATTGTCTTATTATGTTTGCTAACGCAATTGGGGTTCCGATTTTGAGACAACTCTATGTGATAAAGCCCCATTTCATGTTGAAATTGCTTAATCACCCATAAACATGGGACTTCAGAGAGCAAGAATTGGGACTGCAACACTATCGAGAATTGTGGGAAAAACTTAGATGTGTGGATCAAACGACACATGGGTAATGGGGATTGTGCCAATCAACCCGACCAAGGCTTGAAAAAGTGATTTACCTCTGACAACATATTGGTGCTATTTGGAGGATCTCAGTTGGACCGACTAAGCGTCGTTTAGAACATCCTTTTTATGATTCAAAAGCCATAAAATTATATAGATCCCTTCCGTGACAAATCCATATCAGAATATATGGAAAAACCATGGTTTCTGCTTAAATTTTGCCGCGTATATGACGGTTAACCAATCCCATTGTGGCCATAGGTTAAATCCCAAAGTTTTCCCATCAACAAACTCAATTCCCAGTTTCACCATAATTTTCACCGGTGAAATTCCCAAAAAATCCCAATGTTCTTAGGTTAAAATCAACATTTGCCCCAATGTTCATTTTTTTGGCACAGCTTCTTGAGACTTTCGTCGCAGCCTGCCTGTCTCTAAATTCTACAGGAGGATCATCCCCCAAAGTCTCTGCCGATGGTCGTGCCAAAAGCGCTCACTGACATGGCGCGGCACCGCGACAGAAATTTGGGATCGACGGTGAAATCTGTGCAAAAAGGATGCCGTCGAAACCAATTGCAAAAAACATGTGAAAGAGCCCGGTTCATCGCCGGTGGATACTCCTTTAGCGGGGCCGTACGCCAGGAGCCGTCCTCCGAGCGGCCAATGGCACTGCGCTTTGGCAGTTCCGGGGTCACATGATGGCGCCTGAGATGTGTCTGCAAATCAGGCAAATTCAATGCAAGCAATCGCGTAGGCTTCGGTGAGTTCGCCCCTAGGAGTCCTTGGGCAAAATCGACAATCTGCACCCCAGGGCATCGGCGCAGAAGGTGCAGCGCCTCCAGATGCCAGATGGACGGGCGCGAAGGTTCCTCAGGCTCTTGTGGATGTTCAAGCAAGCCAAAACCATCAACGCATGCCAGGGCGTAGAGCAACTCAATGGTGAAGAGCAGCAACTCGTTACCCGTCGCAACCTGCTGCGCCTCCCTCAAGCTCAAGGATTCGAATCCCCAAAGATGATCTCTGTCACGGAGCGGTCTGGGGCCTCGTCCAGGGTGAAGAGGATCTTCTACAAAGCGCGCCTGTGACCATGTCTCACACGGTGGTCCACACAACGCACCAAGCACCCAACCTGCTGCAACTCCATGCTTCCAAAATGCCTGCGTGTCCGGACGACGAACATCTCCAAACTCCGCGTCAATAACCAAATCAAGCGAAACTACGCAGAGGATGGACCCGTCTTGGCAAATGGAATCAAACATCTTCTCCATGTAAAACTGCAAATCCCCTGCTCTCCGACGTCCCGAGAAGACATGGAGGAAAATGCGTTCTCGACTGCAGGGTCGGGGAACTCGATCAGTGGGCGCACGCCATTGTGTCTGGGCGAAGATCTCCTCCATCTCCCCAAGCGAAGGGCAGCTCTGCGCACATTCTTTGTCTGCTTGAAGGAAAGACCAAGAGGACGGTCTCGCAACATCAAGTAAACATCTGCGGATCTCTGCGCACATCTGTGGCGTAGCGTCCAACTCGGCTGCATCGAAGAAGGTGATGAGGCTTCGAAAAGTCGAAGTCCATGCCGTCCATGAAATGGGCCGTTTGGAAGGCAACTGCCGCAACTCGTTCCCAAACTCCTGAATCGTGTCCTCCGTGGATTCGACAATGAGGATGGAGACGGCCTCAAAGAGTTCGCAATGCTCGATGTCAAAGTCCCTGGGGTCTGCAAGCTTGTTCCTCGGTCCCTCTGCCTGTAGAGGTGGAAGTCTGCCATCCCATTCTGTATGACGCTGGGTGTCGACAATGGAGCCTAAACCAGCAGAAGGAGTGTGACAGATCTTCCGCCCCAGCAACTGCTGGCGGCAATGATGTGCACGAATGAGATGAGCTTTGAGTTTGCCTTGTGTGAAGTATTCCGTAAGGCACGCACCACATTGTGTGCCATGGATCAGCGTTCGAACAGGATGAGAAATCCCATGAACCTTGAACATGTGGGCCCCTTCACCGGCCAGGGTCTTACAACGAACTTCACAATGAAGACAGCCATAGAAGGACGAGGGGTCCAACGCAATGTTGTGTGAAAGTCCAGGGCCGTCCCATCGTCCTTGTTGAAGCAGTAGATCCCTCATCCGGAGATGTGTCGAAGTGCAAATGTATTTTCGAGAGGCTACCAGAATCGAGTGGTCTCGAGCACGTCGAAGGAGCCTCTTCCAGTAACCCCTATGGTGTTGGATCACTTCAAGCCATCTGGCAGTATGGGAGAAAGGATCTCCAAGACTGCAGGAGCGAGAAAGTTGATCTCCGGCCCATTGCAAATCATCTCTGAGAAGGTCAAGCCATGCATTGTCAAGGTTGAGTAATCCCCAGTGAGCAGATGACCCCACTGAAAGTAGGGAACCCAAATAACTCAAACGTCGAATCCTCAACAGTGTGGCCGGCGCAGGAAGCCCTGTGCGATGGAGAATCTCTTCGTCAGAGAGATGTGCATCCCTAGGGCACCTCAAGAGTCTTTTGTAGAGCCGGATAATTGCGCAATGCAGGTACTCCTTGGTCTTCAGATCGCAAATGCACCAAGTCTCTGCACCGAAAAGAAGGCGGCTGAGAATCAAACTGTTAAAAATCTCAACTCTCTTCATCTTGTCCAAACCCTCATTCTGGTAGATGATCTTGCGATGCTTGTTAAACGACTGATGCGCAATAGCAATCCGACGCTTGACTTCTCGTCGCAAATCTCCAGAGAAATGGGTCAAACTTCCCAAGTGCACATAGGAGTTCGCCAGGTTGATGTGATAGGGCCCATATTCCCCAACAGCAGTGAAAGTTTTCGAAGCATTGGGGCCAAAAAGTTTGCGTTTGACAGAGGTCGCCCCAATCCCTCTAGGCTGGAGGATGATCTCTGTCTTGCCCTTGCCCAAATTGGGCGTCATAGCATGTGCCCGACAGATGTCGAGGATGGTGCTGGTGGCCACCCCCAGATTGTTCAGGAGCTCCTCATTGGTGTTGGCTGTGAGCGGGATGGCCAAATCATCCATCCAGCATGGACCCAAAAGCCGCTGCGCGCTCGGCACTTCATGGTCTGTTCCCTCACCAGATGTAGGAAGACCCGATCCCTGTAGATCTATGGTGGGCGCCTGTGGAAACTCTGAAAGGATGTTCAAGGGCTCCAGCTCGTGGTCAAAGGATTTCAGCACGCGGGCCATCAAATACCCGAAGACCACATCAGCAAAAAGAATCGCCCGGCCGTGAGCCGTGCGCAGTGCGAACTCTGTCGCCTTGGCCAGGGAGGGCGAAAAACGTGTCTGTGTGCAGGGCCTGGATGGCTCTGCGAGCCACAGCGCTCATCTGAGCTGATTCCACCGCGCTGGGAGCCTGGAGGTGCTCGTAGAGGTCATGTAAAAGATGATGATCCATCTGCAAACGAGCGGCCATGGTCGCAATGATTTCATCGGTCCATTCTCCAGAAATGGCAAGTGGGCGAACAACTCTGTAAAATGCTTCCTGGAGGTCAATGAAAAGCACCGCTGTCGGTTGCTTGCGCGATTCAAAGACTCGAAGAAATGCTCTGATGAGATGCCCTCCAAGAATCACCGAAATACCTTTGCGTCCACCAAGCTGCTGCGGATGTAGAAATCTCTGGTAGAGCTGGGTCTGTTTGGTGCGTAGGGCTTTATGCAACGTCTTTCCAACCATAGAGGAAATCAGGATGGAGCGGAATGCCTGACAGGTGTCCTTGCCGAGCTTCCCTTTCCAAATGGGCACAAGGAATCCGCCCTTGTGGGCAAGAGGCTCTTGTCCTTGCAGGCAAATCTTCAGAAGCAACGAGTAAAATTGCTTCGCCATAGTGGCCGGGCAATAACGCAAGAGTTCTGAAGGGACCCCATCCATTCCAGATGCTTTTCCTGCTTTAACTTGGCGGCATGCTTGTTCAAGTTCAGTAAGCGAGGGAATCTCAGAGATGTCAATGGTGAAGCAGGACTGTGACAACGCAGCGAGGTTGGACCTCCAGATATGTCTCTGCTCAGTCAGAGTCATCCTTTCTCCTCCTTCCATTTCGCTAAAGAACTCGATCCAACGGTTGAGCACTGCTTCATTCGAGGTGCAGGGTTTCCCCTCCGCATCCTTGATCAAAGGCAAAGGAGACAGCCCTTGGCGAAGTTTGTTCGTGGATCCCAGAAAAGGTCGGAGTCGCTGTTGAATTTCTGATGCTGAAGTGGCAGGTCCCAGGTCCTGGACAAGCTCTGAAAGAGCAATCTGCTTGCCTTTGCTGATCTGCCTTCGAAGAGAGCAGGCAAAATGTCGAAGACCAAAACTGTGAAAAAGGACTCCAATGCGAAGGGTTGATCCAAATGTAAATGACCCATCTTGCTTCCAGTTCTGTGGCTCCTTCCAAGCAGAGAAGATCCGGGCCATGGTCTCCCGTCGAAGAAGCCCCCGCAAAAGGCGTAGTTGACGCCGATGGTGAAGTTTTGCTTTTCTCATCTGCCAAATATGGTCGTCGATGTAAGGTCTATCAGGGCCCTTGCTTGGTCTAGGACACCACCGTCGAAGCTGGGAATGCAGGTGGGAATTAATCTGCACAAGATGTTCCTCAACATCCGTGTTCCAAGAGGCAACTGCAGAACCGTGAAAGTGCACGGGCATCTTGCTCTGGATGAGCGAACGATCAAAGGAAGTACCCCGGTTGCCATCCTCATATTTGTGCTGTCCAGTGACTTTGTGGTCCGCCCAAACGAGCTCAACAGCATAGGCTGAGTGGTCAACATTTCTGTTGCCCATGTCGAGCTCTTCCAGGATCCTAGAGCGGTGGCAACGCTCTTGCCAGGCATTGGGAAGGAGGACGTAGTCAATCGTGAACTCATCTCCAATTGGGGAGGTCCAAGTGCAGGTCGATCCACTGTGAACAGGACTTGCAATGGGAGCACAAAGCTGAAATTCCAGCATGAAATCCCTCAAGAATCTTGTTCCCGAAGTGGTGCAAAACCCATCATGTAGAACGCTGAAACCATCCGGGTCTCCAAGACCAGCATTGGCGTCAATACAAACAAAGAGGGATGAGCTGCCTATTCCAGCGTTGCTCAAAATGTCCTGAGTGTCAGACCACCAAATAGACCTTTCTGATGAGGAATAGCCACTGTGGGGCGTGTAGGCGACGAGGGCCCAAGCATCCCAGAGATCATGTTGTATGCGCACCAAAATACGGCGGTGGTCTCGATGGGCTACGCAAAAGTGTTTGCGTTGAAGGTAGATCTCCTTGCGATCAACAAAGGCGGAGGGCTGACGTAGATTGCACCAAAGCTCAACTCCGCCTTGTCCCTGCAGGTGCCCCGATGACAATCTGAAAACGCCATGTTGGTAGGACGATCCCTCATCCGATCTAGTCTCTTGCAAGCCCAAGAAATTGATGTGCAAAGCCAGGAATTGGGATCGGATAAATGCAAGCTTGCCGGCAAAACCATGTTCCCCTTTGCCCAGAGATTGCACGTTCCCAGTTGCAATGCTGATGGTGAAATCGACCTTCTTGGAGCGCAACATGGGTTGAGCACAAGGTCTGGGGTCGTTCACTGGTGGCAGGTCAGGAGGGTGAACATTGAAGCCTCGTCCTTGAAAAGAAGGCACTCCAGAGTTGGTGTCGAAGAGCATCCAAAGGAAAGGAATGATGGGTCTCCAGGTGGCAAGATCCAATTTGGGTCTTTTCAGGAAGAAGCCCTTCCTTCCCTCAACTTTCGCAATGTGGTCGCAAAATTCGTTGAAGGGGTCACCAGCATGTCCTGGAATGTGATCGAAAAGGAGTCCTCCTGCATCAAGAGCCGATTCCAAAAGCTGAGCACATCCCCTAAGGATCTGAAAGGAGTCATCACATTGAAGGGCACCAATGACTCCCCGCGCCTGCTGAAGTGTCAACATCGAATCGCTCCTGAAGATTGTGGGAATGTTGGAGTTTTGTCCGATCCTCCAAAGCATCGCCCAAGTGAGGGCTTCCCGCTCAGAGATAGCTGAGCCTGTGCGATCAGCTCCCAAAGACCACATGTGCTCTTTGCCGCATCGAACTTGATGTGCCGACCACCCAATTAGAGTGATGTCTGAAGATGTAGAAGAGGTGTAGGTTTCTCCCAGAACTAGAAAGCACCAGGCATCAGGAATACCGATCTCCTCATTGAGGTTGGGATCAATGTGTCTGTGTCTAGTCTGGGAAGATCCATCAGTGTAAATGATCAATCGATCAAATTTCACATGGTGGGCAAGTTGTGAAAAACACTGATCGCAAATCTCAGGTAGCTCAAGCCCGTCAAAAAAGTGCACAGCGTGTTCTTAGAGGAAGTGAAGAAGGCACCCAATTCTGTCCCACTAATGCCACAGTGCAAATTGCATAGTGCGCTGTCATCCTTGAAGTTGGGGATGAACATTTTCCCTGGTGGACGGCGAGGTTGTTGTTGAGGCCAGTCAGGGAGCTGCTTGGCCTTTTGGGCTGGCATCTGAAGAGCTCCAATCGACACCGTGAAGGAGACCTCAATGATTCCAACTTCATGGGGAATGACCGAGAGGATCACCGCTTTTTCAAAGCCCAGCTGATAGAGATGTCTCATATGGTCAAGCTCATCAAGGTCAAAGCCAGTCTCACAGGTATGGAGATGAATCTCATGTGGATCAGTCTGAGAGACATACACAAAGTGATGTACCTCAGGTCCAGCCAGGAAATCCAAGGGGAAAACCAGCGCCGTGAAGTCATCCGAGAGGAGCGCGATTTTACAGGAGATCCCATAGCTGCTCAGTTCTTGTTTCACCTCTCCTGGTGAAGGTGGTCCTGATATTTCAATGAAGGAAGGAAGCAGTCCAGGAAAATCTCCAGCTCTCTTCAATCTGATTGGTGTGGAGGGATTTTGAGCTTTGTCAGGTACAGAAGAAGGCCCATGGATGTGAGCTACCAGCCCATGTGTTAGGCGCCTCCTCGTACCTTCCTTTCTTCGAGCTGAGATCTGAAGAAGATTGGTGCCAGCCAAGTGAGCTTGGATGTCCTGGTTTGTGGGTCTTCGGCTAACCTGAAACAGGATACCTGAACCATCTCCCAAAGGTAAAGGCCGACCCAGGACAAGGAGTTGAGTGCCAATCCAAGCTCCGCAAATTGAAGGAGCGTTAGGGGAGAGGCAGCGAGCTGAAAGGCCCAGGTCATTGATGATGTCATCAAGCGCAAGAGTATCCCTTGTGGTCAGGGCAAATTGCATAGTAGGTCCACTGAGATCTCGTTCAGTGTCAAAGACCGTGAGCAAACTTGAGGAAACACCATCCAGTGGGTTCTGTATCAGAAGCAAATGAGCTGCGACTTGTTGATCTCTGCTGGGTGGTGAAGGCTGCACAACATGAATCAAGATGGGCGCACCCGGAAGTTGCAGATCATTCCAAGCCAGACGTAATTGTCGTTCCCAGGATTGAGCTTCTCCTTGAAGTCGTACGAGTCTTGGCCGCCAGCAGGAATGCAGTGCTTGGTGGAACTGGTCCACAAGCCATGTGACTACATTGATGACAACTTCCTCGCCCTCCCAGCTAAAGGCAGAACGTCTCCAAAGATCTTGTAGCTCTTGCACATTGGCAGAAGTCAAGCTATGCGAAAGACTACCTGGGCAGAAGCGCTTTGCAGAAGGGTTGAAGGCGAAGTTCTCCGATCTGCTTTGATGAGGATCATTGTGCGGGACATCAATGCCGTCCAGAGCTGGAGGTAGTCGCCCATGAGTCTGAAGCAGAGAACCTTGATCACTTTCTTCACTCTGAACCGGTCCAAGCCAGCCAGTATTTGCAGGATGAAGGTAAATGACCAGCCCAACTCCAGGCTCGATTTCGTCAAAATCAAATGGATCAAAAGGCAGGGGGCCTCTTCGAACAGTGCATCTGCGAAAACGACATTCAACTTGATGTTCAGCCATTCGAATGATGGAATTCGCCGTGATGAGAGATGGAAGAGACCAGGCCGTGTGGTCAATCAGAGCACTTTGATGATTGGAATCATGGGTCGAAATCAGCCCAACGACCATGTCAGGTCTCGGAGCCTGTTCAATGATGATGTGGGCCAACAGGCATTCCATGGTTGTACATGGCGGTGTCGGCCGGACAAGGTAAAGCACAATATCAATGGTCTCGTCAATGATGTCCTCCCACGGCGCAATCAGGTCTTCCAACCAGGATGCCGGGTCTTGGTAGAGTTTCACAGCACGAGAGTCAGTGCAGCGGGAATGTTGTGCATGATGCACATACCAAGTGTCCACATATGCTACTTGACCTTCCTCTTCACATTCAATGAGTGAGAGGGATTGAAACAGATTCTGAAGGGTCTCAAAGTCCCTGTCATGAAAGCGGGTCGAAGGTCTCGGAGCTCGTAAAGGGAGATCACCGCCAGCAGAGGTGCCAAGTAGGGCAGGTTGAACAACTTGATCAGGAGCAACCTTGTATTGTGCCGGAAGAGGTGGACAGGCCTGCACATCCAGCTGGAAGAAAGTGCTGTGATCATCAAGTCGCTCAGGTCTCCATGACTGAGAGCCTTGTGCTTGGCAATCAGGTCGATGGTGTGGACGATGTGCTTCAAGTGCAAAGTCCCTTGAAATCGCAATGGCTCTTTGGGTGTCCAATGTCGTATCAGCTGGAGGAGGAACGATCACTCGGACATACGTGCCATGTGGAAGATCATGCAGCGTACGATCTTCAAGGTGCCAGATCAGGTGGTCTTGAAAGATGGTGCAATGATCTCCATGAAGTTCACAATAGTCAAAGAGCCCCAGAAGGATCAGTATTTGCGATCTGTGTACAGGAGGAAGGACCCGATAAACCTTTCTGGTCACCGCAGGAGGGATCAAAAGGCCGTCAGGAAGCGCATGAAAATGAACCTCCAAATCAATAAGGACCAATTGTTCCCTTGAGCCAGGCAAGAGGTCAACTCTGGACTGCAAGATTACAGCTTTCTCATGAGGTTCTTGGAGTCCAATTGGAGGAACAATCATGGGATGAATTCCGACCACATCATTGCGTCGCATCAGCAAACATCTTGTAAGGTCAAAGAGAATACGCCTGTAGGATGACCACCTCAAGAAGCAGTGTCCATCAGGCCTCTCAAGTCGAAAGATGTGAACTCCAACTTCCTCTTCTGGTCGAGGGGCCACAGAGGAACTGCCATGAGAAGGCGTGACATCTTGCATTGATGCAGCCTCATAGTCATCATAGTCCAAATCTTCACGAGCAACAGCTGGATGAGATGGACCTGTTTGCTGAGGCATATGGAGGCGCCTGCCCGCTCTGTCCTCATTGGAATCAGTGACAGTAACCACAAAAGAGTGCCCATGCTGCATCTGGTGTACAGGCCGATGATCAAAAGGAATTCGATCCCATCCATGTGAGATGGTACATTGATAGTGATCCCTGTTGCACCATTGGTCTGCATCAGCGGTCTCAGTGAGTCTTCGACCACTCACCATGAGTTCCAGAGAGCTGGCCAGAGCATATGAATGAGGATCTGCATCTCTCCCATGGTAGTGCACTGTGATGAGGCCCGCTCTACGAGGAAGATCATTGCCCTGAGTAATGATGATGTCTCCGTGGACTCGTTGACGCATGTAACCACGATAGGGATCAGGGAAGACGAGATGGAGGAAAATGCTATCACCAGCATGAAGGTGAGATCGCCAAGAGCCCACAATGTCATCCTCCCATCTTCTCCAATCTTCTTCTAGCTCCACAATTCTCGAGTGGAAATTCACAGGGTGAGTGCCATGGTGGATGTACCAAGTGCGTAGACGCAAAATTCCATCACCATCTGGGTCAGAAAAGACCTCATGCTCGTCCCCAATGGCGTAGAGGTCTTGAGCAAAAGCTGGTGCTTCGTTGATGTCCGGGATGACATCAGGATCTGGCTCGGTCGGTTCTTCTTGAGGTCGCCGAGCGGGATTGTCCAGATGATTGTCAATGATTTTGTGTTGATCAACTCCCGGAGGATGGAAAGCAATTCGAGTGTCCTCTGGTCTGGTGGTGGAATAGCAACTTCGTACGAAACCTCCATCATGCCAGGGACGAACTTGGAACCGACTTGCACGCAAGTCCGCAATCATGGGGCATCCACTCCAAGGTGTTGATTCAGAAGCAAAATAAAATGAAGGCAAGCAAAACTTCTGCATTCCCCAGTCAGCTTCTTCTCCGATGTAGAGACATGTCCAATCTGCAAAGCCCACACGCAGAGAACTTGATGTCCTACTTCTCAAAGAAGATCGCAATGACAAAGGTGAAGAGTGCATGGGAGAACCCCGGTGACAACCAGCCAGATTCATCTCAAGCGCAAGCTTTTGAGCCGATTCTCTGGCACCACATTCACATAGGAAGTTCTCCTCAAAGGTCACGTTGTGGCTCCACTTCATGGCTAGTAGAGCCCCTGGATTTTCCGGCTTCCGGCTGCTATACCATAAGGTCATAGACAGCCAGCCTAATTGAAAGGCGCCTTGGCCTCTTCGCCAGCTGAAACTTCTTCTGTGCTGGGGCGCTTGGTCGCAGGGCCTTCGATCTGAATGGCTTCTGCCTCCTTCGACAGCTGCTGCAGTGAGTTCGACAGAGTCTGGATGCTTGTCGTGATCTGCATAGCAGAGGAATCTCCATCTCCAGGCAGTTCTTCCTCGTCGCTGGCTGCCACTTCTGTCACTTGGCCCGCAGATGTCTTTGAGGCATCTAGACACTCCTTCGCCTCCTGGAACTGGTCTCTGGCAGCTGCAATTCTCGCTTGGAGAGCTGACTCTTGCTGTTCGAACATCTTGGCATAGTCCGTCCAGTTGCGCACCGCTTCTGCCAAAAAGGATTTCCACGTCGAGACATGTTGAACTCGAGCTTGTAGAGCCTCTTCGTAGGCGGTGCGGGCTTCTCCAAGAGCTTTTGCTGATACCTGTAAGTCCTTGATGACCTTCTTTCCCTGTTTCCTGGATTCCGACTGAATGCGATGTTGAACGTCTGGAGGAAGGTCCACAGATCGTTTTGCAAGAAATTGATCAGATCGGATTGTCCAGGATTGGGTGTATTCTGACCCAGCATCGGTGCCGGAACCGCCAAGGGAACGAATGGCTGTGGCGAATGACCTGGGACAGCTTGAGGCATCGAGGGTGCAGGCATCAAATTCATCATGTTCATCATAGGCATGTTGGGGGATCCCTGCGGAACAACTGGCTGAATCCAAGGTGGTGGCGGACCAGACGGCGGTGGCAATGGAGGGCCCAAAGGAAAATTCTGCTGAGGAAAAGGAGCAGCAGGAAATTGCTGATAGGGCCCAAAACTTTGCACATCTTTGCCTTTTCCTCCACCTTTGCCGCCACGTGGTGACTTCGCCCGAGGGCTTTGTCCACGACGGGGAGACTTCTTTCCTCGTGGGGATTGACTGCCCTGGTAAGTCTGCTGTTGTCCACTTTGATGACTACCTTGATAGCTCCACGCATGATAGTCTTGCCCATTCTGATGTTGCTTCACTCCATGTACAAAAGAGCGATCCATAGCAGACTGCCATGGCAAATTGCAAGTCTGACAATGGTTGGCATGATGCTTCCTGAGCTGCTTGCAATAGAGGCAACGCCATGGTGCATTGTTGGGCTGCATCGCTTCGACAATGGCTCGAAGAAAACCAAAATCTCGAGAGTGGTGCTTGTGTAGAACCCGAAAAACTTGTCGAAGTTGACGAGGTCCAAGAAGAGCCACACCCGTTTTGTGAAGGTGCCAGCGAAGGCGAGCTTGAGCGCGTTGTCGCCTCAGCGAGCGCCTGGCAGTGGCAGTCGCCGTGGTGAAGCTCGTCGAATGAGAAAACCCCCTTGAATACAATCAAGATCAACAGGAAGTAGACAAGGAAGAAGACCATGTAAAAGAAGAACGAAAACGAGAGTGCCGCAACAGACAGGAGGACCAAGTCAAACTCCGTCAAGAAGTGCACAGCCCGATCTCGAAGTCAAAGTGCGCGTGACCAAAGCGCCAGGTGGTATCGGTTGGTCAGACCGACAGAGCACGTTTCGTAGTCGCTCGATGCCAGGGCACACGCCAGTTCAGCAACGGCGACGAAGGCCAGGTGGTCAAATGGCCCGCGGGTAGGCCAACCAAATACCCGCTCAGGTGAAGACGTGGGGGCGGAGCCAGTGAGCGAATCCTACCCCTCAGCCAAACCTTCCAATGTTCATATATATATATACTGTATATATACTGTATATATACTGGAACGTGTAGACACAATTGTTTTCCAAATTTTCAGAGGTAAAATTCCTCAGCTTTCTCCTGGACGATCTGCTGGTTCTCTTCCAGGCCTTCGCTGCGTTGATTTTAGACCCATAGAAGTGGCTGGATTTTTTCCATCAAAAAAGTGGGATTCAAAAGGGGATTTTACCATACTTTAACCACTTTAACCATAGAAAATGAGTGATGCAGATGGATTTAACACCGCAAAATTGGCAGTTCATCAGTGCAAATCCTTGCTTATCCCACATTCCCTCCCGCAAAGCATTATAGTAACCCCCAAAAGAAATAAAAAAAAGAAAAAACGCTGAAGTAATGATGAAGTAAACGATTTCTATCTTTTTGGAGGTTGCTATATACAATATAGATAGATAGATAGATAGATAGATAGATAGATAGATAGATAGCTTCTGTAGATATAGATACTGTAGATATAGATACTGTAGATATAAATACTGTAGATATAAATACTGTAGATATACATAGATAGATAGATAGATAGATAGATAGATAGATAGATAGATAGATAGCTTCTGTAGATATAGATACTGTAGATATAGATACTGTAGATACAGATACTGTAGATATAAATACTGTAGATATACATAGATAGATAGATATAGATAGATATAGATAGATATAGATAGATATAGATAAATATAGATAGATATAGATAGTAGATATTAGATAGATATAGATAGATATCGATAGATATAGA